TCTCGGATCAGGTCAGCGCCTCTGTATAGCATGCTTCGTAAGATTTCAGTAGTCATGATAAGGCAGCTTGCTTCCGGATTAATCTGAACATCACCGGTCAAAATACCAACATCATCGAACTCTGTTCTAAAGTCTCTGAACTTTTGGTTACTCAACGCCTTGATGGGTGATGTATAAATAGCCTTCGTCATATGCTTCGCGGCAAGAGAAATGGCATATTCGGCGACGACAGTTTTACCGGCTGACGTATGAGCAGCAACGAAGACGGAGTCGCCACATTCAAGATGATAGACAGCCTCCTTTTGGAAAGTATCCAGTTCGAATGGCCACTCCCGAGCCATGTCGGGAACCAAGTCGCGGAAGTTCGGGATCTCTTTGTTGACATCGACGACATGAGCCCATTCTTTACCGGCTTTCCGTTGCTGCATGCCTGCGAGCAGCGGCGCATGGGGTTCCAGCGCTGGGAACTCGACAGGCAGCAAAGAGTCAATGTCTTCCTCATCGCTGAGCTCCGCCTCATCATCGATCTTGACGCCTCCGGCATCTGACGCTGTCTCCTCTTGTTCAACATGCAGATCGGTCTCTTCCTGCTGAAGAGCGTGCTCCACTTCCTCGTCTCCTTCTGCGGCCTCTTTAGTCTTGGCTTCCTCGAACTTCAATCCCCGAGAAAAACCAGGAGCGATCTTCAACAGGCCACCTTCAGCACCAAAGTTGATGATCCGATCGAGGCCTGATTGCTTGCCGCTGGCTCTGGAGTGCTCCGGCGTCTGAGCTTCAGATTCCATTTCAGCAATTGCCTCGACACCGTCCAGCCCACCTGGAGCGAACGGGAAGAAGCCAGCTGCGCCTCTTACAAAGTCCGCACGACCAGCTGGCCGGCGAAGAAGTGATGTTGAATTTTTGGCATTTGCACTAGTGGCGGGAACGGTAACCTCGTGGTAGCCAGTAACGCGGCCTTCCAGGCCATCCCGATCAAATCGGACGATAGTGCGTGTCTGTGTACCAGCGACCTCGAACAGATCAGTGTAATCCGTCGGGACATCCCACTTCCTGTACGATGTCAGTATACAAAACAGATGGGTATGCCAGCGAATGTCGGGTATCAAACCTTTGTAAGCGGTTCAGCCATTCAGGACTAAACGTGGATGAAGGGGTTAGAAACTCCTGCTCTAGCTCCTGCTTGAGATCAGCAGCATCCTGTCGGGTCTTTTGACGAAGTTTGAAGTCCTGGTAGACACCATCCTCCTCTTCGGCCAGCCTTGCGTCAAAAGCCGATGCGCTAAGGTTTTGCGAGTTTAGGCTTAACTCGGCCAGCGCCGACGTCAGAGTCTCCGCCATTTTCTATAACTTCTAGCCAAAGGTGTAAAGAAAGCTCTGATGGTACGCGATCTACTTCAGCATCGCACGACACGTCTGAGCAGAGATCTAACAGAGAGCCCCGCAAGGTAGCGTGACGGGAGGAAGATCTTATCAAAGCGGTAAGCCAAGGTTAATTGAGACCTATGAAAAGCCTGCTGGCAGAATCCAGCATTCACAGGGTAGTAAATTGACAATGGACCCTATGTCAGTAGTAGCTTTGAGATGGAAAGAATAGCTAGCACCGGTGGTTATTCGATGTGTTTGGCGGCGGAAAGTTCGCTGGCGCCAGAACCAACCAGCTCTGGCTCTGACGTCGTGTGGGGACTTGCAGCTTCCGCCCACCGGTGGGATGAATAATGTTAATTCACATCCGGATGAACTAAAGCCATTTGGGAGAAAAACAGAGGGGAATCGGAAAATCTCAACGATCAGCTTCTTCCCCACAGATTTTCCTCCAGGGGGTTGTGGTCTTGCACAAATTCTGCTTCCCCCAGAGTGGTGAATGGGAAGGCACCTAAAGCCAGTCGGCACAGGATATCACAACTTTTTATTCCTGTTCATGTGCCCTACTACTAACAATACAAGGTAGTGTGGTCCTTGTACAATGAGTAATCCATCATGTACAGTCACCAGAACGCCAAAAGCAAATGCGAAACGATGATTTGAACCCAGTGTTACAATCGGAATGCTCCCGAAACAAACGCGCAAATACCCGTGCTGGAAAGGGGATGCCAGGGAACAAGCAGGCGTCCATCGTCGTGGACAGTCCCAATCCCCCCTCAAAACATCAAAAGATGGTGTTCTATCTCCAGTCGTCCAATCTCGTATGCTGAATGCCAATTATCCGTCACACCCTGCGCCCTTTCATATACCCGCGCAAATTGAAAGAATATCACACAGTCCAAATAGGATTTAGTAAAAATAAGAGTATGGGGGTTGTTGAATGAACCGCTCACCCTTGAGGCGAAAGTCGTGCTCAGCAACTATCCCAGAACTTACCCATGACAGGGCTAATGAATTACTCGCTAACGATAGGTGATGACAGGGAAGGTCTTCCTGTCTGTTACATTGACCTGGTATTCGAAGATCCCGTCCACAGTGGCGACGTATCTATACAGTCAGCTGGAGTTTACCCTAAAATCAGAGCAAGACTTGGCACCTACAATGTCCGGCCATCTGCACCCCAACCAATACCAGCTGTGCTACCCGGTTCCTGGTCTCGACCAATGCCCAGGCTACGGTCAGGAAGTTCATTCAACACGTTACGTATCCATCGAGGTGAACGAGCTTGTTCGTAATCCCACTGTGTCTGCCGATATCGCAGGTGACTTTGCCGGCTGTGTGGTAACATGGCATTCTGTCGCTGTTGCCGTCGAAGGCGTTCCACGGCCACGCTGGCTCTCAATTCAGTGCCGGAAAGCCGCGGTGTATCTTGCAAAAGCTCCGGCGTGCCGTCCTGACCCTCAAGCCGTCTGTGGCCTGAACGGGATCGCTGGTGGTTTCTTGGCGGGGGCAACAAGTCTGCTGTGGTATTAGAATAATCAAAATTGGCCGACGGACGGTTCATTGTGCCATGAAGCCGAGCCGCAGAGCCCTGTTCGTTACCGGAACTGTTAGGCTCACTGGAGCTGGAATCTGCAGCATGCGCAGGGGTGTCCGAACGATTAGGGTATATCTCTGAGGGCGAAGCAGTCCAGCTGAGTGTAATACTAGGCTGCGGATCGGGGTTTACCAGTCCCGTTTCGGGTGTCCTACTGCTGGCTTCATTATGGCTAGGAGTCAGTAGGACAGAGCCCTGGCGTCTCGCATGTTGGCTGCGATCACCAGTTCCCGTTTGCGAGTCCTCTTGGTACAGTTCTCGGTTTGGATGGCTGCGTGGTGGAGGCGAAGTAGGGCCGGAGGCTCGACTGGCCTCATCCGTGGGACCGTGGAATCGGGGGCGCACTGTAGGGTGAGGATGAGCATTAGCTCTAGCTCGCCGCTCTGCTAACCCGTCCTCCATCCTCGACGTCCATCGTGCTGTATTCAAAAATTCAACAATCAGCCTCTCTCTTTCTGTGAGGTCCTGTATCAGGCTCTCACTTAGTGGCGAATTGGCCGAACCCGTCGCGCCTCGGTTATGGAGTGATTCATCTAATGCGTCAATCGCTCGCTGTGATGCGTCGAGTTCATGTCGTGTGTCCGGGGAGGCTCGACTATCGAGTTCGAATAATAAGTCATCCAGCAATGGCTCCGTACGGACTTCCTGCAAGTCAGGCTCGTTCATATCCAGTTCCAGTATCTGTCTGCGAACGAAACCACGACGGACATCGGCAATTCCAGCTCGCCCCTTGTCTTCAAGCCATACCAGGAGATCCCAGGGCTCAGGTGCAAAAGCCATACATCGTACAGCGCCTCCATTGCAGCAAGCTCTTGACGAGTTGAAGCGACAAATTATCGCATTTTGGCCCTGAGGCTGGCGTATAAGATCGCGGATAGTCCCAACGTCAAAGATGGTGATAACTCCAGACTGCGAACCAATCGCGCATAATCGACTGAATTGAGAAAAGGCGACAGTGAAACAGCATCCATCGTCAAAACGTGTGCCTATGTCCATTTCTATACAACGAAGAAGGTCCCAGTTCCATCCACAAACTTTGTCACCATCATCCGTCACAGTCACTGCATCGAGGTCGCGAGTAACATCATAGAAATATGCACGTGTTTCATCACCAACCGCGGCAAGGACAGTCGAATCTGGTGACATGATCGCATAGTTCATGCACGCCGGATGATGAAGTACCTTGAGGACTTTTGACCGGGCCAGGGAGTAGACGGTAACGGTCTTATCGTTATTACTGCAAAAGCGATCAGCATCTCAGGTGACCCAAAAATTGCCGCGCCCATACCTGAGAATGGCTATATCTTCCTCCGCTAGCTCCTTTCCATCCCCGGGCAGACGATGGATCGTCACCGAGTTGACGATGCTGCCTCCGAACTTGTGCAATTGCACCTCCGGAACCTGCCTACTATTGCCATGGCGAGCTGGTCCAGGCTCGTCGCCAGGCATCCAAGGCGGTGATATCCTCGCAGGCGGTTCAAGATCGATTGGCAAAGCACTGTCCACGTCCGACGGCTGGAAAGCCGGTGTATCGGCACGGGCGCGCGGACTCCGATCGGACGATAGCCCAACAAACGCGCATTCCCCATTATCGGCGCCCCCCACCCCAATCCAACCGTGACCAGCAGCGAGACATTTTGGCTCGAACGGAATAACGGCAATGGTCTCCCGCTTTTGTGATGAAATGTGAATCGAGTATATGACTCGCTCGACGACAACGTAGATCCTGTCCGGGTCTGCGGTGCTAATGTAGTTGCGAAGTTGTTGATGGCTATCAAACGATTAGCACTGATCAGCCTGTTTTACTGCGAGCTCAATGTACAGACAAGTTGGGAATTTTGAAGGGGAAGAAGCGGCGCTTGTTGGGAAGGATAAGAGACTCCGTCGGATGATGCCTGCAGATTGATACGATATTAGCAATCGGCCAGTGAATTTCATTATCTGAGTGGAAGGGGAAGCGGGAGACTGACGCGAGCGAATCCGTAGTCATTGTGAAGGAACGTCGATATAATATTTTAAGGTGACATGGTCGGAAGTACAGCTATGGCGGAGCTCCGATGTTGCGGGAAAACGACGGACAACGCAGAGGGAGCAAAAGAGTCGATGGTGAGTAGTAGAGACGACGAAAAAGAAAAGAGGTAATGGGGAGGGAAACAGCTGAAAAGGAGGCCGGTGTCGCAGGGTATTATTGAAAACAGGGTCTAGCCTGAGAGTGGGAGTTGAAAACTAGAGCTTGTTCGAGTAAAGTAGGTAAAGCAGAGGGAGCACACCACACCAGCACCAGTTACCTCCTCTCTCTCTCTGTCGCTCTGCTTCTGCTCCCACTTCGCTTTCCCTCCCAACTGATCCGCCCTTCACTGTTTGGACGATTTCGGAGGGTGCGAACGGATGACGTAAGACTTAGCCGGACCCAATCCGGGGAACCTCCAGCGGCGAATGCGGTCGAGTTCAATTCGAGTCCACCGCTTCCAGCCTGCCTTACATTCTTCTCTCTAGACGGTAAGGAAGATAGATCCTCAAGTCTTTATTTGGTGTACCTAGGTAATAATCGGATCCTGTAAGGTCATACTATCGCTTTTACCTGCACGCAGCATGCCATTCAAAGCCATCCCCCTGTAGTGTCTCAAATTTCTGCAGTACGCCTAGTCCTAAGTAGACCGAGGTCTCGTGAGGATTTCCCGTCTAGGTTCACTGGCAGCTTAACAGGAAGCAGTGTTTCGACACACCACTGTCTAGCATCCATGGATTCAAACTCGGAAGGGTTATCAATTGCCCGTATGACTTTCTATTCCATAAGTTTCTTCATGACGCTGAATGAAATAGGGCTTCTTGAAGATATTGACACCGACTAGTAATTCTTGATGTTAGTTTTTTTGCAATAAAGCTACGGAACATATTTTGCTTGGCGATGATGACTCATGACATGTCCATGTATGTCCCTTGAAAGTCTATCCTGGTCGATTTCTTTCGACGAATTGGCCAGTGGTGAGGACTATGCATTTCGCAACTTTTTTCGATCGCAGTTTGCAGCCTTAGTTCAGACACAAGGGATAGTAGAGGATACAGAAAGTGTAGCCAGACATACCAGCACTAGCTACTATTCTTCGCTGAGACATAAATTGTACCTAGCTGGCCGGTGTAAAGGTGCCGAGGCATCTAGTTGATGACAGAAAAGCAATAATATTGACCACTATTGAAGTACTTTTATGTACTCATATCAACATGACTTGTTATGACAACTATGGATCGAGGTGCCATCAATGGATATGGCCTAGAAATGTGTAATGCAGGATTTAATTCCAATGAAATTGAATCTATTAAGTTCCAACTTGGAAGTATTGCTACAAGTGACGTGTATAAAGCAACAGCTTATTTCTACAATCATACTGACTAGTATTTCATCCAAAGCAATTGACTTTTGACTCATACTGACACCCGAGCAGTTAGGGGAAAGAGAAAAGAGAGCGATGGGAAAGTATTCAAGCCACAGTGGCAATGAGTAGAGGACACTGGTAGCTTCTGCGAGCTTTTGCAAAGGAAGAAGAGACCGGCCGGGGCAGTGGCTCGGCAACTCAGCTTGAGCGGTCAAAAGGATCGCTGGGCTGCGATTGGATGGCACGCGGTGTTGCCGTGATTCTACCAAGTTCGACGACGGGCCGAAGCTCTCCGGGACGATTTTTACTAGTCCTGGCAGCCGGCGTCCTCCCTTCTTTTCAAGTTTCTTCCTCCCCAGAAAGAGCTGAAAAATTCTTGTTCTCCTTCAACTCTCCTCCTCCCTCCTGTCTCCATCTTATACCCTCCCTCCTATATCCTCCGGCCCTTCGATTGAATCGACTGGCCCATTTCTATATTTCTCTTTTTAATTAGTTGTATTATTTTGTTCTTCTAATCACATCTCACAATGCTGTCCTCTCGCATCACCCGCGCGGTAAGTTTTGCATCATCATCATTGTCGATTCTAGAGTCTTGTTCCTAACATCACTTTCTGTGAATCAGCTCCCGCGCACCACTCCTTTCGCTCGCGCTCCCGCTTTCAGAGTCCCCGGTGCTGCCGCTCGCAGATGGAACTCCACCGAGGGTGGTGAGGAGAAGGTGAAGGGCCAGGTCATCGGTATTGACTTGGGTAGGTTAAGAATTCCTGTGCTCGTGATGTAATCCAAACAGTATCTAATACAGTCACACAGGTACCACCAACTCCGCTGTTGCCGTCATGGAGGGCAAGACCCCCAAGATCATTGAGAACACCGAAGGTACGCGAAAAATTTTTCCATCCGCCGCGCCAGTTCCGCAGTAACTCCGAAATCGGAGCGATACGCGGGATCTCGCTGGTATCATGCAGTTCGAGCGATAGGTGACTGACTTGGATGCAAATAGGTGCCAGAACCACTCCTTCCGTTGTTGCTTTCGCCCAGGACGGTGAGCGTCTGGTCGGTATTGCCGCCAAGCGTCAGGCCGTTGTCAACCCCGAGAACACTCTCTTCGCCACCAAGCGTCTCATCGGTCGCAAGTTCACCGACGCTGAGGTCCAGCGTGACATCAAGGAGGTCCCCTACAAGATCGTTCAGCACACCAACGGCGATGCCTGGGTTGAGGCTCGTGGCCAGAAGTACTCTCCTTCCCAGATTGGTGGTTTCGTCCTCAACAAGATGAAGGAGACTGCCGAGAACTACCTCAGCAAGCCCGTTAAGAACGCTGTCGTCACTGTCCCCGCCTACTTCAACGACTCCCAGCGTCAGGCCACCAAGGACGCCGGTCAGATCGCTGGTCTCAACGTTCTCCGTGTCGTTAACGAGCCCACTGCCGCCGCTCTTGCCTACGGTCTTGAGAAGGAGGCCGACCGTGTTGTCGCTGTTTACGATCTTGGTGGTGGTACTTTCGATATCTCCGTTCTGGAGATCCAGAAGGGTGTTTTCGAGGTTAAGTCCACCAACGGTGACACCCACCTTGGTGGTGAGGACTTCGATATTGCCCTTGTCCGCCAGATTGTCCAGCAGTTCAAGAAGGAGTCCGGCCTGGACCTCTCCGGTGACCGCATGGCTATCCAGCGTATCCGTGAGGCTGCTGAGAAGGCCAAGATTGAGCTGTCTTCTTCTCTCCAGACTGAGATCAACCTTCCTTTCATCACTGCTGATGCCAGCGGTGCCAAGCACATCAACCACAAGATGACCCGTGCCAGCCTCGAGTCCCTGGTTGACCCTCTCATCAGCCGCACCGTTGAGCCCGTCCGCAAGGCCCTCAAGGATGCCAACCTGCAGTCCGGTGACATCCAGGACATCATCCTGGTCGGTGGTATGACCCGTATGCCCAAGGTCACCGAGTCCGTCAAGTCCATGTTCGGCCGTGACCCCGCCAAGTCCGTCAACCCCGATGAGGCTGTCGCCATTGGTGCTGCCATCCAGGGTGCTGTCCTTGCTGGTGAGGTCACTGACGTCCTTCTGCTCGATGTCACTCCCCTCTCCCTCGGTATCGAGACCCTTGGTGGTGTCTTCACCCGTCTGATCAACCGCAACACCACCATCCCCACCAAGAAGTCCCAGACCTTCTCCACCGCCGCTGATTTCCAGACCGCTGTCGAGATCAAGGTCTTCCAGGGTGAGCGTGAGCTCGTCAAGGACAACAAGCTCCTCGGAAACTTCCAGCTTGTTGGTATCCCCCCTGCCCACCGTGGTGTCCCCCAGGTCGAGGTTACCTTCGACATTGATGCCGACTCCATCGTCCACGTTGCCGCCAAGGACAAGTCCACCGGCAAGGACCAGTCCATCACCATTGCCTCCGGCTCCGGTCTCTCCGACTCTGAGATCCAGTCCATGGTTGAGGATGCTGAGAAGTACGGTGCTCAGGACAAGGAGCGCAAGGCCGCCATTGAGGCCGCCAACCGCGCCGACAGCGTCGTGAACGACACTGAGAAGGCTCTCAAGGAGTTCGAGGACCGCCTTGACAAGGCCGAGGCCGACCAGATCCGCGAGAAGATTGCCACTCTCCGCGAGTTCATTGCCCAGAACCAGTCCGGTGAGGGCACTGCCACCGCTGAGGAGTTCAAGCAGAAGACCGACGAGCTCCAGAACGCCAGCTTGACCCTCTTCGACAAGATGCACAAGGCTCAGTCCGAGCAGCAGCAGCAGCAGCAGAGCGGTGAGGGCGAGAACAAGGCCTAAATGTACAACCACTGAACTCCCCATGACTTGAACAAGCCATGGGTGTTTCCTGTATTTCACCTTTGCGTTATTCCCTAGAGCCTTTCCTCTTTTTTCTCTCCGATGTTTTAACACGCATGATATGTATACATACCTGATAGCTCTGACTGATCTATCCCTGTTCCGGTGTATTGGTGTTTTTATATACTCTTTCTCATGTTCATTTCCCTTCTGTATTCTGATTTCTCTTTTCTCCAATCCCCTCTTCATACCTTTCTGGGCCGGGTGAGCGTTTGCACTTCTTTGACAGGAGGGCCATCCGTTGGAACGGATGCATGGAGTTTACATTTTGTAACTTAATGACATTACGGCTGGGAGACCACGAAAAAAAGGATGTGGTGGGCTGGAATCTGTGACAATAGAATATGAAATTCTCCTCTCGATTTAACAACTGTGCTGTGCTGGACCTGATACAATGTATACCAAAAACAAGAGAACATACGTAGACACATACGTAGCCATGTCCTGTGAAACACGGCCGATTTCATCACCCAACTACTAGCTAGTATACTAGTCTACTTACTATGACTACGTAGTGAGTGAGTGAGTGAGTGAGTGAGTGAGTGAGAGTGAGTGACCACCATACCAACATTCTGGAAATCGCCCCGTAAAAGAAAACCAGCTGGACAAAGAGAAGTGGGCCAGGCAGGGCAGGGCAAAAGGCGCGGCCGCCGCGTACACACAAAACAAGTCTGTCTGTTGGACTTAGACTACTAGTAGCTTGACTGACTGAATATGAACCTGGCTGGTACCCTGGTCCCAACCATCTAACTATCTAGTGGATTGACTAGTAGTAGTCAAGTCCCATCTATCTATTTATTATTCTTCTGTTTTCTGTGGGTGGATTCCATTCTACTACGTAGTACTATCCATTCAATTCAGTCATTCGCATGTAATGAGTAATATTATCCAATCAATCCAAGCTTGGAAGATGGAAACCCACTCCCTATTCCTGTGTTTAATTTTCAGACTAAGGGAGTGTTCCAAGAAATGATTATAATTATTATTATTAGTGTCATTGTTTTGGTACGTAGTACTTAGTAGTGAGTTTTGGATTTGACTGCAATCAGACTAGATAGTACTGAGTTAGTAACTTAGTATACTGTGTGGTCTGGGGGAGAAAGTCGATAGCCTCGTTTTCGGTGCCATGAAATTTAGCGGGTCGGTCTAGGAGGTGGTTTATCTGGGACAGAGGATGATACTTTGGTTGTTGGTGTTAGATTATGTACACTATATCAAATCTGGCATTAGTACTCTGGAGAGTATTTGGCTTTGGCTTGCCAGCTGTTCATGCATACATACATTCAGTTATTTATTATGTTGTGCTGTGTAGTGTGTGATGTGATGAGGATCGCAGGAGAAGGGCGCGAGGGGGGAGGGATGTCATTAGATGATGTGATTAATTAATATAATTGACCTAGTAGTTAGTAGTAAATGAGTGTCCTGCGAATCAGGTTGAAGGTCTGGGGTGAAACATACATTGTGTACTTATCCTCATCTGGGATTGACTATGTTGTAAATGTTTGTTGTTAACTACTATAGTGAAAAATATTATTGTTTTTGTTTAGTATACATTGTTGTAAATGTCGTGATAGATTGATCGTCTTTTTCTTTTACGGAGTATTTCTTCTTATCATTGAAGGGGGTTGGACGAATACTCACTAGGAGTGATGAACCTTGCATTGACATCTACAAAGAGAGAAAAGGAAAGAGTAAGAGAGGAAACAGGCAGTGGATTAAAATGAGGAATGAAAATCTGCTATGAGTTCTCTGTAAAGATTCCGATGATGCCTTGAGAGGGAGAGGACCTGTTCTGGGTGCAAGTTATTTTTCCTTGTTCTGACGATCCTTCCGCTAGATCGAAGCTTCTAGCACGCACAGATTATAATTTCCTAAGGACAACAGAAGAGAGAGAGAGAGAGAGAGAGAGAGAGTTGAACTGTGTGAAAAAGAGGGGCGGAAGTCACTTCCAGAGTCCGTGAGCAGGGAAAGAAAGATAAAAAAAAAGAAATAAATAAATAAAAAAAGAAAGAAATAAAAAAAAAATCTTTCTTCTGACTGGAATGTGAGCAAAGAAACACAAGAGAGATGGTGTGCTTGGGGCTACTCTCATCCATCCATTAAGGGACGACGAAACAACCGGGGAGCAGGAAGCAGCGTTCCAGAAGTGGAGCTAGTGATATGCAGGATGGACAGAAAAATAAAAATTGGACTTATCATCATATTGATCTAATATAATTCAATGGTGACGGCAGGCCAGAACATCACAAGTTCTGAACACACACACACACAGTACGTAGTATGGGGTAAGGGGACTATAGTAGGGGTTGTTAAGAGTTTTAGAGACCTGTTTGTTGTCTATCCCTATCAGGATGTGCGATCGAGACCCCAATCAACACACCACATTGATGGACGGTCGAATCAGATTAATAGCGATGAGGTCGGTACAACTTACTACTTTATTATTACTTACTGGGTAGGGGTACTTATTAGTTAGAAGTAAGTACTACTAGTAATAGGCACGGGGAGAAAGTGCAGGACGTACTTTGGTTCTTATCGGCAGTAAGCCCCCCAACTGCAACCAATCGCCGCTGGAAGACTTGCAGGAGCGTTGCAGATGAAGGGACAAATCATCGATGTACACACATGCAGTGAGGAGCTCTGGCCAAGGAATCTCTCATTCTTCTACACAGTAGGGTGGGCAAGGAAAAATATTATGGAGATTGGCAAGTGGACTGAATGGAGGGTGAGTGGATGAGACGAAGGGAGGGGGGCGTTAGAGCGCAAGTAAATCCTGTGTTGTTCTTTGGTCAATCAATGAAGAAGAAGAAGAGAAGATGACGATCCTGGCAGTAGTAGTACTATCTAGTTGTGGTCTGACATGGCCGGTAACAACGCTCTCCAATAATCTGACAGACCTTTGAGGGTGGATTCCTACGGAGTCATTCCTCTCCTCCAGGATAACTTGTGACTAATGAATCAATCTGTGTCACAGATGATTCTGGCAAAACATCCTGATGAGAGCTGTTATTTTCTGCTTGTGTTTCGGCTGGTACCAAAAGGCCAAAAAGCCTGGATCTCTTTTACTGGAACGCCCCATTTTTCTGCCCTGACTTGGACCAAACGGGCACTCCTCACGTCCAGCCTAATTTGAGAACCACTTGGAACGAGTCTTTTTATTTAGACTGGATAAATTGCGTCTGGCTGCAAAAAATCTCCCCTTCCATCATTTGTCGATCACCGTGTTAACTAATAATGTACCTTGTTCCAGGAATGATCCAGTCAGTGGTGTTTTTTCGGGGGGGGAGGGAGGGAGGGTGGAAGGATGAGAGGGATGCCCCGCTCGGTTGATTATTTATTGTTGTTATAATTATGAATTTTATTATTTTGATTATAATTAGTATTTATCATTATTTATTAGTATTTGTTACTACTGACTACTGTGGTAGTGTGGATGAAGGAGTTGAACTGCCCTGGCTGGCCCTCATGGATCCAATCCCACAGGAATCCACAGTTAGTAGTTAGTTAGCTGGGTTGTGTGTGTGTGTCTCTTTTTTACCAGTGGAAAGGCGGGTATCTTCCCACTTTCCCTTCACATTTGCCCCTTGGAACACTCAACCCAGCGAACCAATCTTTGCCCTTTCCCAACCCGTGTCCTCCTCTCGTCTTCAGTTTCTCCCGTATTCAGGGCGGGGACCTTTTTCTTTTTTCCCACCATTCTCATTGCTCTTTCCAATTAACTTCCCCCTGTCAATTTGTCTACGTAGCTGGTTGGGGAACTCCGGCTTTCGTCAGTGCGAAATAGTAGTAAAAATTTGATAACCTTGACACGCTGTAATACCTTTGTAATCCACTCTGGCCATGAGCACAAAACCCCCGATCTTCCATGATCTTCTACTTTCCTTCTCATTAAATTGTGTTACAAACAACTAGTAGATCAGCCGGTCCTCATTGGTCACTTTCCTTTAGTAGCTAAAAATAAATATTACCAACTCCAGCCAGACAAAACTGGAAGTGAACGAAGGAGACTAAAAGGGGATGAGTGAAAAAAATATTTTACGACTGTTTCTTAGACCGATGACACAAAAAGGCCACAGATTGCTTTTGGTGAATTAACTCGACAATTTCCTAGTAGATCAAAAAAATACTTCTACAGTATATGCAATCATCCAGGTTTCTTTATCAATTGTTGAGATCAGGTCAAAGTTAATATGTTGGCGCATTACCTTTATGGTCATGGTACATATCGACCCTGGTCTAAACCGATGGTTTTTGCTTCTGCTCCGGCAGAATAACACTACTAAAAAGTACACATCTCAGATCCCAGATAGACCCGGGGGGGATCCGATAAATAATAGAATTTAATATAGATTACTTGGGTTGGTTTGTGTTTGTCACTAGTGTGACAGTAGTGGATTTCTATCGGAGGGGCAGGCTAGTGTACAACACAGAGGCATGATTTTCGGGGGGGGACTGAAGGATTTTGGCACAGAATAATCAGTCCAGTGAGGGCAAGAAAGTGAGTGAGTAATTACAATGATGCTCATGGTTCATTTTCAGGGATGGCGCGAAGACCACTACTACCACCACTAGGCCTACTTTTGGTACTACTAATCTGAGATCGATCTATCTATTTATCTCAAGCAGGATGTTAATTTAATTCAAGATAGAAGAATAAATGAATTAATAAATAAATAAAAAAAGAAAAAGAAAAGAAAGAAATGGAATGAAATGAGATTGTCGAAGTTATGATAGAAAAGAGAGCGAAGCAAAACAATAAACAGAAAAGAAAATGGATCTGAACCGGCCATCCCACAAGTCGGAATTCCATTCAGGTTGCAGAAACGGGCAATGAACCAGACAAGTTGTGCAGTCTGTACTACATCGTACTAAGGGCATTATTGTCAATTATTACTACATCTGACACTGGAGCTCACTAGTGCTGTTGCAGGTCCCAGACTTTATCCATGGACTTGTTTGTTTCCAAGGTCCAACTGACCGTAAAATCACTACTTACTATCTACTGACTAGTTTTATTAGCTGCTAGCGTACCTCTCTAGTGGTTGTCTAGAGCTGTCCCATTCGATCTGGTTTAATTACTTTGACCAGTATTGTTCCAATCTTGCTCTCGCCCTCGCTCGCTCTTCTGTGATTAGTATTCCTTCTGCTCTCTCTCTCTCTCTCTCTCCCTCTCTCCGCTTCTCTTGCTTTTCCTTTTACATTTATTATTTTTGTTTCCTTTTTTCTTTTTCCCTTTCCCTTTTACTCTATTTACATTTACTCTTCTTTTTTTTTTCTTTTCCCTTTTTCTTCCCCCCTTGGTTTAAACTTTCATGCAAACCTTCCATTAGGATCGCTGCCCGCTAGAACTATCTCTTTTGCGCGCGCGCTTCTCAACAAACAGGCACCACTTGTGACAGTCTTGCCTGCTTTCCTCCTTCAATCCATTGGATCCCTTGCTTAACCGTTAACCACTCTGCATTTGTCCCTCAACTCTAGTGGGTTGACAACCAACTCAACCGAACATTCGAGGGAAAAACCGCGGGAAATTTCCTGGTGAGAGAAAACAAAAAAACGGGCAAGGTGCATCGCACTAGCGGCCTCTTTTTCTTCTCTGCTTGGTGGAAGTAGTCCTTGGCTGCATTTGACATTCTATTCTTCTGATTATTTGCTGCAAGTGTAAGTCCCTCTCTTTCTCTTTTGCTACTTGCTCTCGTCAATACCCCAAACTCTACATCTGCCACGCATTCTGGTCCTTCTCAACGAAGCCTTGGCCTCTTCCTCCTTCTGCCAACTAGCCCATTGTATCCTCTTCTTATCATCCAGTCATAAACTTCTTCCCTTTTTTGTCCTCTCTCCTTCGACTCCCTCTCGCATCTCCCTTTCTCACCCTGCCTTACACACTTTGTACTCCTTCGTTCCTCTCTTTCTCCCTCTCCCCTCTTTCATCTTATTCAGCCATTCCTCAGATCTCATTTCCTGCTGCTTTTTCTTCCGCTCCATCCCCCCTCTCCGAGTCATATCATCTGCACTCTCCAACAAAGTTTCCATGTGCATGCCAGAACTCAAAAGCGGTAGATTGGATCAACTAATTCTCTGACTGTATTTCTCTTCTTCAGTCCTCTCTACCATGACAGTTGCAGCACCTCCTGTAGCACCCGTGCACGAGAATGGCATGAACGGAGGTGCCCCCGGACATCATGTCAACACTATGAGCCTCCCCCGTTTCCATCCAATCGCAATGAATCCGCCGCAACCAATCCCGCCAGAACATATGATGCCTGCCCATCATCAATTTCGTCCTTTTCACCCCCCTCCACTGCAGGAACAGGGTCCGCCTGCACCTGGTCCGCCGGGTCAACCATTTCAGATAGATCATATTGAGGCTCGCCTCAGGCAACTGGAACATGAAGAGGCGGCTCGCATGGCGGCCCGTAGTCATCTTCTCGCCATCCGGAAGCGAGAGGACGAGGAGTTTCGTAGGATGACTGAAAATGCGGAAGCAGAAGAAGAGGTATGGTTATTAGGTTGTGATAAAAAAATTCCCCACCGTTTCAACTCTGACATGGATTCTTTTGCCTACAAATCAGGAACTGCGTAGGCAACGGAAACGAATTAAGCGGGAGTCAATGGGACTGGGATTTAATGCAAGCCTGGACTCTCCGCCGCTTCGACCAACGCCGCCTCGCCGATTATCGGAAACCAATGCAGCGACCACCCTTGCATTCTTCAAGCAACAGAGCCCTCCGGAGCCTCGTCCAATTCCCCCGCCAGCACAAGCGGCACCGCCCCATCCTCCACCGCAACACATTCACCATGATCCTACCGGTGCCACGTCAATCAGACGGAAACAAAAATATACCATAAAGAACGTTGAAGCTTGGGGGGAGCGTCATGGACGTCCGGCCGCGCATGACCCTTCTGGACGGGCGCTCTGGAAGCGGCCGTCGGATGGCAGCTTGGTGTATCTCACATGCCCTGTTACGGGCTGCGGCAAGGCCGACTTCGTGACCTTGCATGGCTTCATGTGCCATTTGACCAAAAAGCACAAGGATCGTAGCCTGGGCAGTCAATCCCGGGCGCTTGAGGTGTGCGGTATAGTGTTTGATCCTAACGCTCCGCTGCCACCCGTGGCTACCGTGAACCGGGCATCTACTGAAGAAAGTCGCCTGGAATCGGGTCCTGCGGATGGCGAGGGATATCAGCAGGAGATGGAATATTCTTCTGCGTCAGATGAGGAGGAGAGTCGGGAGGTCCCTGTGAAAACGGAGGCCTCAGATAGGACACTGCCTGCGCCGCCGGTGACCATGCCTCCGGCGCCGGAGCAAATACCAGTGCCGAGAATGAACGGCTCAACTAAGCAATCCATCTCGTCGATTATCGATCGCGACCCGGAGGATGAACCCCGGGGGCGACTAAGCTCAATCCCGCCTCGGCCGGCTGAGGCACCAATCCAGGCGTCCCCGGATCAAAAGCCCTCGATCAAGGACGAGGCCGAGTTCCCTCGGCCACATGAGACCGAGAAAGAGAATACTGACCCTAAAAACACAACCGAGGCAAAGTAATATATACAAATACATCATAATTACTGGTTATTTTCATTGCGTTGACCTGTGACCAGGCAAAACTTGCATTTTTATCACCTTGCATAGTCCGAGCATGCTTTTCTGATTCTGTTCATATGCAGCTCTTGCGTCAATACCCTCTTTTCTATTTGTGGGAGGCCTTGTGCACGTTCATTAATAATGTAATGTCTTACTCTTGTCGCAATGATTGACCCTCTTTCCATGTATGCTTGGATTGATGGGGATTCTCTCTTCTACACATGCCCATCCATCCCTATGCCTCCAATCACTAGTACATGCTATACCCTTTATAATCCCCAGTCAAAGATGATATCTTGAACCCCGGGTGCACAGTTATTGTGTCTGTTATTTTCTTGCTCTTGCTTCCCACAAGAATGTCCATACTGCTTTGGGATGTTTATACATGCATAGCTGTTTAGCTTCTGGCCGGGACGATGCAGTTGAGAGACATGAGTCTCGTTTCAAAAGTTCCACAGCTCAGGCCATGTCCATAGTCCATGAAAGACATATCATTCAGTTCATCTCTATCCTCCTCACCTTTCATATTGACCTAAACTCCAGCCCCATCCCCATAGTCCTAATATAGATCGAACCCCTCTCTACCTCAAAACCAAAACATGCACCAAATACCCACTCCCAGACATCAACTTCTCCCCTAACATCTCATCACTCACCCTCCACACGCGAAACACCCTCAACGTCTCCCGTAACCACGCCTCAAACACCTCCGGCGACCTCTGCTGCTGCGCAATCACACACACCGTCGGCGTCCTCCCCCCACTTCCTGTTCCACTAAAGCCCCTCCCCTCAGTACCAGGGGGAGTATACACCGGCCTCAGCCGACACAAATCCGCACACGTGCGCACAAACGGCGCAACCAACGCATCGTTGTAGATACAGTCGCAAGACACTACCACGTCGAAGCCTTTATCTTCCTCCCCACCCTCTTCACTACCATCCACTGTAGTGGTAGTACATAATCCCAACCCCTCCTTAAGCGATCCCGCAACATCTAATTCCCAATCTAGGGATGTGAAAATCACATTCCCATTCCCATTACCGTTCCCTGTTGCATTCGCATGTCCCTGGTGGGATTTCCGAGCTGCTGAGGAGGCTGACGCTTTGGTGGACTTCTTTCCCGACTTGGAAGATCTACTTCCACCGGTAGTAGTAATGGTGCTGGCATTCTCATCCAGATTCTGGCGAAATAATCTCTGCACGTATTCCTGGTCTGTGGCGATGTAGTGGGCTATTTTGGGAGAGAGGGATAGGGCTAGGAGGGCGGAGATGCCGCTGCCTAGTTCGACGATGGTGGAGGTTGGGGTTAGGATGTTGTGTGTCCAGAGGGGGTTGATTTCTCTAGTATTCTTGGTGGAGGAGGAGGAGGTGGTGGTGTTGTTGGAGAGCCATTCTGCGATGAGGGGGGTGATTTTCCAGAGGACTGTTGTATATCATATCATATTAGATTGGGCAATTGGTTGATTAGGTTGGTGCGTTCAGGTCATTATTGTCATGATGATGAGGGGGGGTTATGGTAAAGGCTCACCTGCACCGGTTGTACCACCTGCTCTGGAAGATGATAGCAGAGTCGGGGATTGATGAATGGTATAGTCTTGGTCGTGGATGGTTAGGTCGATGGTTGTGGCGCGGGAGTCGACGAACCCTAGGTTGGCGGAGGGGATGTCTTGGGAGAAGAGGAGGAAGGATTCTATTTGTTTGAAAATAGTTTTTGGTTTCAATGGTTATTATGTGTGGTATACGGGGTGTTTATAGTGGCTTATATAGGTATACACGCTATGATGATATTGCAATCGAGCATGGGAACATACCCTCTTCTGCGTCTTCCACTTCTTCGCCGATGGTGGTGAGGAAGTTGGTGAGGAGATCCATGGTTTCTTGGAATAGAATATATCTGTCTGTCTGTCTAGTGTCTACTAGGTATACAGAGGGTATGTGTTTCAGTTCCCACTTAGGGTAGGCCTGTTTGCTTCTGATATTAGTTGTCCTGGTCAGTTAGTAGTACTTAGTCATGAAGTCTGTCAATCGGAAGATTTCATCTGTAGTGGCGGGCGTTGTACAACGGAGATCAACCAGGGTGTGAAACGGGGAGAATCGAAGTTTTGACTGCAACAAGGGCTTGCAATGGATGAAGAATTGTGATGATACTGAATTTGCGGTGGTTCTGACCGACGGGAAGTTTTCCAGCATTGTAACGGCTGGCATTCTGATTGGTCGGCGGGAAGGGGGTCTCACAGTCACACCGCAGAGATCCTTAAAACGTTTCTTCATGTATGCTGCGACTGCATAAGAGGGTTGATGCATAAGTGGATGAAGGAGGTCATGACAAAGTTAATTGCCAATAGTCTTTGGACTGAATGTCTGGTGCCTGAATACTTCCTAGTTATCAAGTAGTGACGGTGGGAATCCCAACAAAAGCGGAACTGGGCTTAGCCCGCGACCGAGACTTTCCGATCGCTTTTCTTGAATCATGAACTGCGAATCCCTTGGACTCTAGAGGCTTCTTATGCCGTCATCTGGGCGGGAATCTCTGGAATTGTGGATTCAATTAGTTCATATATCTCTCCTTGGCTATAGGTACGTAGTGATCTAGTCTGCTTACTGTACTGCTGTCATGTCGGGGCAGCTTGACAAGCTCCATAGTCTGTGTTTGTGTCTGTCCCCATGATCCCCTGCTCTCCCCGTGTGTGTGTCAGAACCTTGAAGCTGTCGGCTGTGCTGGACCGCGGCTAGTACTTTATGATGTTGCATTCAGATTCCCGACCGATCTAGACGATGCATGAGCCTAGTAGTAGTAGGCGAGGTACTACTGGTACAGTAGTCGTGGCCTCAAGGGGAGAGTTGTTGTCACGATCGCAACCATTGTAGCGCATTGCGAGAGCGGAGAAACCAGTCGAATAGCCAGTAAAACCAGACCATATCATAGAACCAAGGAACACGATGTGCAGGGGAAGAAGAAGGATCGCAAAAAGGGACTTTGACCCATCCGTCATTGTAACCGGAGGTGGCGGACGAGCCTGAGAAAGCAACTTAACTGGGGGGACCGCCTTGACCTCCCGTCCAGCCACAACAAATACTCTCTCTCGCTCTGACTTCATTTCCGATCTGCAGCTTCATCTTCTCCTCTTCTGGTGCTGCTGCTACTTCTCCTCCTCCACTACCACCTCCTCCTCTTCTCCAGCTTCCCTTCCTATTTCCCCCCTCTTCTTCTCTTCCCTTTTTACCCCCATCTCATCCGGGTCCCTTACCATCTACCGCCCGTATTTTCTCCCCGCAATCTCGCCCGCCTTGGAAGGCTTCTTGTCTTTCTTGCTAAAGGCTCCACCTGCAACCTCATCCCCCCCCGGTTTGCAGTCCGTCAGTGTGGTTCTGCACTCCCGTAAGTCTTTTGAGTTCTGCGCTCCGTCCCTCTTCCTCCGGTTCCCGTCTCTCTGTGCTGTTGCTTTTTCCATTGCCGTATTTGTTCAGACCGAACCTAAATTCTCCAACATCGACTGACCACCACACCCCATTCTTTGTTGGACAGACCAAGTCCCCTACAGATCTTGTCTTCCCGTTCCCTCCATCTAGAAATCCTGTCCCACCAAGATGCCGATGTCCAAGGAGGAGCTCCAGGAGCTTCGCATCCAACCGCGCATGTACAAGAAGCCTCCGTTCTCCGTAGAGGCTCCTGGATACGAGCCGGTTGAGGGCGAGACCATTCCTCGTCGACTGCCCGCCGCCAAGAATGGCCTCATCCTTCGCCCGGCTGAGGATGTCGGAACTACCTACGATGTCTTCCGCCGCTCCGCGCGTGTTTACGGCAATGCGAAGGCCGTCGGAACTCGTCACTTGGTCAAGACCCATGTCGAGAACAAGAAGGTCAAGAAGGTCGTCGATGGTGTCGAGAAGGAGGTCGACAAGCAGTGGACCTACTTTGAGATGAGTGGCTACAGCTACAAGAGCTTTGTCGAATACGAGAAGCTGGCCCTGGAGCTCGGCTGTGGATTGCGAAAGCTCGGTTTGGAGAAGCCCGACAAGATCCACCTTTACGGCGCAACTAGGTAAGTCTGCAGTTGAGCTTTACCAACGTACAAGAGGAATGCTGACGTTGCATCTTCTTCTTCTCCCGCAGTGCACATTGGCTGGCCATGTCACACGGTTTGTGCCCAAACATCCACCTTGGCTCATTGGTCGACAACTAATCGCAATCCTTGTGAACAGGTTCCGCCTCTCAGTCCCTGACCATTGTCACCGCATATGATACCCTGGGTGAGGAGGGATTGAAGCACTCTTTGGTCCAGACATCCAGTGCCGCCATCTTCTGCGATCCCGTTCTCATCCCCTCCCTGGCCAACGTTCTGAAGGATGTCAAGTCCATCAAGCACGTCATCTACAACACCGACCAGGAGCCCAAGAAGGAGCACCTGGACCGTCTCAAGTCCGAGTATGACTACCTGAACGTCATGAGTCTCGAGGAGCTGCGGAAGCTGGGTGAAGAGAACCCCGTGGAACCCGTCCCTCCGGCTCCTGAAGACCTTTGCTGTATCATGTACACCTCTGGTTCTACCGGCCCCCCGAAGGGTGTCTCCCTGACACATGCGAACGTTATCGCCGCAAGTAAGTTGTTATTCGGAATGTATTTGGCTAGTCGCCGCTAACGCCAACTTCCTACCTAGCTGCCGGTATCCACGAGATTGTCGGCCCTTACATCGGTCCCTCGGATGCTCTCCTCACCTACCTTCCCCAAGCGCACATCTTGGAATTCATGTTCGAGAACCTCTGTCTCTTCTGGGGTGGTACCATGGGTTACGGTAACCCTCGCACCTTGTCTGACGCTTCTATGCGCAACTGCAAGGGTGATATCCGCGAATTCAAGCCCACCATCCTGGTCGGTGTTCCGGCTGTGTGGGAGTCCGTGAAGAAGGGTGTGCTCAACAACCTGAACAAGAACAACTTCCTCATCAAGAGCATCTTCTGGGGTGCCATGTCTGCCAAGAACTTCCTCATGACTGCTGGATTCCCCGGCGCTGACACGGGAGCCTGGTTCCTGGACTCTGTGGCCTTCCGCAAGCTCAAGGAAGCTACTGGTGGTCGGCTACGGATTATGATGAACGGTGGTGGTCCGGTCTCCAAGGACACGCAAAAGTTCCTGTCCATGGCTGTTGCCCCCATGATTAGCGGCTACGGTCTGACCGAAACCTCCGCCATGGGTGCTTTGAACGATCCCATGGCCTGGAACCCTGACGCGCTCGGTGAAATCCCCGCCTCTATCGAGGTTAAGCTTGTTGACTTCCCGGATGCTGGCTACTTCACGAAGAACACTCCCCCTCAGGGAGAAATCTACATTCGCGGAGGCAGTGTCAGCAGCAACTACTGGCAGAACGAGGAGGAGACCAAGGAGGCCTACACCGATGATGGATGGTTCAAGACTGGTGACATCGGCGAGTTCGACCACCTTGGCCATCTCAAGATCATCGACCGCAAGAAGAACCTCGTCAAGACTCTCAACGGTGAATACATCGCTCTGGAGAAGCTCGAGTCTATCTATCGCTCTTCCCCCGTGGTCGGCAACATCTGCGTCTACGCCGCGCAAGACCAGGACAAGCCCGTTGCTATCATTGTCCCTGTCGAAGCCACCCTGAAGAAGTTGGCCAACGACAACGGTATCGAGGGCGACTCTTTGGAGTCTCTCGTCCACAACGAGAAATTGAAGTCTATTGTCCTCAAGCAGCTCCAGACCGCCGGTAAGGCCGGTGGTCTGAAGGGTATTGAGATCATTAACGGTGTTGTCCTCTCCGACGAGGAGTGGACCCCTCAGAACGTAAGAGTAACGCATATCTTCGTTTCTATGGAATGGTATACTAATGAATGACAGGGCTTCATGACCGCCGCCCAAAAGCTCCAGCGCAAGAAGATCCTCAACCGCTTCCAGGAGGACATTGACCGTGCCTACGGCAAGAAATAAAACAAACACCACAGATTATAACTAAAGTCCGCGCGCACAGCGAACAACTCATCTCATCTCGATCAGCCGCATATCTTATGCCTGCTTAATTAGTATATCCTCTATATCCCTCAGCAACTGTTCTGCTCGGCTCGCATCATGTTTTTGATCCTGCTAATTTCGTTTTCTCTTCGACTTCTGTTGTTCTATGATATACATGTATCATGTTCTCTCCTTTCTTCGTCTGTGTGTATGTCTCCGCTTAGCTAACTCTCGATGTGATACTCACTCATCCCGGTGTGTCTATGCCATATAAAATTCTTCAATTTCAGTCAACTCTACCTCGTTCGTTAATTACCAGTAGCAGCTATATGAAGCAGACAGAAATGCCCCAAATTGAAATGTAATCATTGAATAGATAAATAGTAGATGGATATGTCCTAGCTTCATCATCCCCTATTCATACTATCTCTTATCTTTCTCTCTCTCTCTCTCTCTACCCCTTTCCTTATCTCTCGACACTAACCTAGTTCCTGTAATAGTCTCGCTAAAACCATAACTACTAGTTTTACCATCGAAAGTTAAAAGTTAACAAGATAGATATCTACTTTATACTCAGGCTAAGTACATAAGTAGTATCAATCTAACTATCTCTTCTCCTTCTCCTAAATGGAATATTCCACAACCCAACATTTGATAAGGTAAGTAAAAGACCCTATCTATCTATCTATATGCTATACAGCATTTGACCTGCAGGTATAGAGAGTCCCTATGATAGATATTAGTGAGTAGTACTGATAGCCAAGTTTCTTTCAATTCCACGTAAGATGATAGATAGGATAGCTAGATAGCTAGATCATAGCTAGATATCACAGAGCGAATAATATTTAGTACTAAGTACTACGTAGCAGACTACGTAGCATTCATTAGTAGATAGCTGCTGCAACGCATGAGTCAATAAATTTTACTGCTAAATAGATATTACTGGGTTAGCATTATACTATATATATGATATGATTCATAACCTACTATTTAAGTGATTTCATGACTAGTAGGTAGGTAGTATTGATTTAGTGAGGAAACTGCTAGAGGATCTACTTCAAGTATCAAGTATGATATACGTCTCTTTGCCGAAATCTTATTTTCTATCTTGAGTGATATACATGCAGTGCATGCTTCTTGTGATGGGTAATATGTCAGATCAATCCTTCTTCTCTTTTCTTCTTTTTTTCTGATGTGTCTGAAAGAGGGGGAAGATGATACAGGTCATTTCGTTAATTCGATGGTTCCTGGCGCTATATTGACTGGGACGTAATAGGAAGGCGGAATTGAACGCCATTTGACTAAACCGTATCGAGACTAGTTGGCATTCCAAGTTACTGCCGACGAGAGCTCGATTCGCAACCTTTCCGGACTGCAAAAGAACAATTGAGTGGAACTACCTTACCTGGTGCCTGATTACATTCTTAACATCCGTGTCTCGTATACTTACATTTTTTTTACTTACAAGGATGTCTTTCTGGAGGTGGGTGGTCTATTACAAATCTAATGAGGAAATAGCTTTACGCTGACTGGGAGATACGCACCACACAGCTCATATCGGTCCCTCTCGCCCAAAACGAGAGCTCTATTCGGAATCGGCGTGATGGCCTGGGCTTCGATTGGGCTCTGGGCTTCGCCGCAAGTGGAAAATGCCATGGGTATGGCGCCTACCAAGGAGGAACAGGAGGAGTTGGATCGGAAACTGGCTGTCCGGATATCGAGAGTCGAGAAAGATGTAAAGTAGGTGATGCAGATGGAGGCGGGTACTCTCGGCTACGGTAATGGGGTTGGGGGTCTGGGTTGAGACGTCAGCAGCCCAACATTTGGTTATCGCAGATGCAGGCCGCCTTGACCGGTTACTTTGAAACACCAATGGGCGTCTTTCACATGTTCTTGCGAGTTGAAGCTGGGGACGGGAATAGGCCAGAATAAAAATAGGCAGAAGCAGATAGGCGGCATTTGAGTCAGAAGGAGAGTTAGGCGAGTTGCAGCAGGAAGCAGGAAATGAGGGAGGGGGAGCAGATGCTCAATTCTTGTCGTGTGTCTAGCCTTGTCAGAAGTTTGTTGGCGGGACACAACATCCGGAGGCCGTTTCGTGGAACAGAATTTTCATGCATGCAATGTCGGGAGAAGTTTTGAGACGACTAGCTGACGAGTCCATGAAGAACCCAGAGAGTTGCGCTGCCAGTTCGCCGATGCTTGTAGGGGTCGAAGCAAGTGATTGAGCGAGTAAAGGGCGAAAGAAGGAAATGAGACAATCTCCACGCAGCTCAGCGCAGGGTGATGTGACAGGGTATGATCTACGGAAAGAAAGAAAGGTTTGTCTGGGACAGAATCTTCACCAGCTCGTAAAGGGGGTTGGCCATGAGAGACCAACGTTGACACGAAAAACAGCCTTGTCAGCACTCGACAGGGGGCTCGCATGGCTGGTAGATTTTCTCTTTCCAGGGAATGGAAATTGACACTGGGACCCTGGTCTCAGGTTCAGAGCAGAATCCAACGGAGTGAGATCAGCGACACAGGATCATTTGACGTACAGACGAACATGGGGTCCCTATTTGACTCAGATACTGCTCGGCTATTGCATGCAAGACTCCGAAGGCTCCAATCTGCGACATCAACCGCTCCAGGAAGATGGGTGGGGCGGGTTGCATCCCATCGACTCGCCCGTGGGAAGAGTAGGGGGCGCGCATGGAAGTGGCAGCGACTGGAGCCCTGGCCGTTGAAAAGGGCAAGTCGACAAGTTTCATACATTGCGTTGGGCGCTGACGTTGGTGCAGTGAAACTGACGCAGATTGGATGCAACGGTTGCACAACGATCCGGAGAGTTGTCCAAAGGGACATTGCGGCGTTCTCGTTGGCCGCCCTCTACCAGACCGTACTTCTGTCGGTCAAAATTACCAGGCCTTCTGTGGCTTGCAAGGCTTGGGCCCCATCAGTTTTGCCCGGGTCATTCACACCCCCTCCCTTGTACGACGTGCATGGTGGGCCGTTCTAGGGAAGCCAATATTGCCTCAGCAATGCTTGGAGTATTTGGTAGCCATCGGGGACCCCGCCTGCGGGCATTACAGAGGTTGGAAACCACTGGAAAGGTGAAGCGTGTCCGGTTGGTGTGAGATTGTTTATCATTGCTTTGATTCTGCATGGTCTATTGGGACGGACAATAATTCCACGCTGCCGAAATCTGTTGGGGGGTGGGGGCTGCTGCTTATGGCGCCTGGATGGTCGACGGAAGGAGACATGTTGTGTAGTATGAATTAAATGATTCTCGCGTTTCTTTTTCCCGATGAGATGGATGCAGATGCATCACTAGAGAGAGTGAGAGAGATAAGGACCGGCAGATTCAGGATTTATCGGGTCCGAAAGAACGGCGATGGTGTAGTCCTTGCAGGCTGATATTCAGACCAAAGGGAAAACAATTGTTGGGTCAGGATGACTCCGGAACGTGCCGAGAGGCCCAAGGGTTTGGAAGGAGTGGCTCAACCAGACAGACGCGCCCGTCAGCGCCTGGAGCGAGTGGTCATCCCGCATGGCGATGGAGTTGTACCCGAAGGCTTGGAGGCTGGATATCCTGGATAGCACCCAGTAGGATAGTTACACTTGCCGCCGCGATGGGGAGCATCGATGGGAGGCGCTAAAAGGGGAGAGAGCATGCACGCTCACTAACGAGATTTAATCAGCGGCCTAATGTATGCCCGGTCGATCATGGAACGCATTGGTGGGATGATCGTCGCGTTAGTTGCATCTTCCTTTTGACGTCGCTCGAGTGCCGTCACCTGCAGCCATGGAAGGACCAGGGACTTCTGACGTGGGGGGCAACATTATGGGCCTAAGAGAAAAGGCGGGAAGCAACCGAGAGACATGGATGAGATGAGATGAGATGGGATGAGATGTGATGTTGAGGTGGACACCGGCTGATGAGGTTCGCAGGAAGAGCCATGCTCAGGGGACAATTACTTACTCTACCCGGGGCACCTTGGCGTGCTGTATGTATAGATAGTAGTGGATGAACTGGCTACCAAGCTAGCAAGTCAGGAGTGAGCTCACCTAATAGATCGATAGGTAGATAGTTAGTTTGTGACTAGGCAGTAGTCAAGAGCAGGAGCTAAGTAGTTAGTCTGCTGTCTAGTGAGGAGTAGTGAGAAAGACAGACAGACAGACAGAGAAGCAGCCAGGATGGTGCCGGTGAGGCGGAAAAAGGATCCCATTCCCCTTCCGGCATATCGACAACAAAGGAAAACCCGCGGGAAAAAAAAAGGAGAAGGAGTGATTGGCCCTATCTTCTTTCCCTTTTCTCTCTCCATTGCCTCTAGCATAGGTGTCTGTTATTGCAGTCTATTATTCTTTGGTTCTTCATTCATTCCTGCTGAGTTTGGCAACGTAAGTGGGCGGGAGGAAGTACAGGAGAGGGAGTACTATGTGAGTTCCTGGAGTAGTAAGTATGTATGGAGCAACCAGCAACCAGCAACCAGCAAGTGGAAGTAGAAGTAAGTAAATGTGTGTTGGTTGATTTGGTTTCGGGCAAGCGCGTCTGTACGGTAAGTTGGTAGTACGTATCAGTAGTTACCGAGAGTAACTCCACCCCCAGGAAATCTTTCCCCGTAAATTAAAAAACTAAAAAAAACTAAAAAAAACTAAACTAAAAACTAAAACTAACCGTAAACTAAACGATCGATTCCCATCCATCGATCTTCCGTCACAACAATCATCCACCCACTAACTACTAGTAACTTACTTACTACCGCAAACTAGTAGTAGTGTATGTACCTATTAGGCATGTCTGCCACCAAATTACTTACTGGGAGTTAACCGCCCCCCTCCTCCTCAATGGCTGTCGGTGACCGACCGCCAAACTCGGCAACAACAAATGAAAGGATGGGGCTTCGGTCCCTTCGTCGATCTTCCCTCGTCATCTGGCCTGAGATCCGGGCGGCTCGGGGTCGTTAATGGCTTGTTCTCTCTGGTCTCTCATTCTCCCTCTCACACACCTCCCCTAACCACCACCAAATCCCTCCTCACGCAGCTTCCCCCCCTCCCACCCTCTCCCCTCCCTGATCCTCTCCCTGACCTCCATTCAAATAGGTAAACACATATCCTTAAGTTTACCGCGGAATTTGCCACGGCTGTGAGCTAGAAGCATCATGATGATCATCTACTAATCTTGGTACTATCGATCACCTATCAATTACGGCATACTGCATAACTAGAAGTCTCGGATCTCAATCCGTTGTCCCTTACCCGGCTCCCCTCCCTCTCTCTCTCTCACACACTCTCTTCCCCCCTCTTTCATTGAATCATTGGCAATTCATGTTATCTGTACGTTCAAATCCTATTTAGGAATAATAATATGAGGGATCCGCTTCGTTGGGTTTCTTCGTACCCTTCCATATTGCTTTTTCCGCGCATGGGGTTCTGGTTCTGGTTTCAAGACTTACCCCCCTCTCCGCATGCAGCGAACAGGGTTAGTTAGTTGAGATTGGATTGACTTGACAGCGGCATACCTAGCTGGGCCAAGTAGGGCAGCATATCGGAGAAAATTCTACCCCGGCAGTAACCAATTATTACCCCCTCCCGGCGAACTATAATCCTTCTCCCTGGCAGGCTGGGTCTTGCATGCGAATTATTACTATCTTGGTTCGCTATGTTCTCGAATGGTCATGAAATGCTCCACTCCGAGAAAGACGCTCGTTTTTAGCCTTCCTGTTGGTTCGTAATTCTAAAACGAAGTTTCTTTGCTAGTTTGTTTTAGCATCAAAATATTAATAAGTCCAAAAATCATAGTGAATAGTATTTATGTTTTCTTTTTGGCCTTTCTGGAAAAGGAAAATTCAAGTCTCGTCTACATGTAGAAACTCATATGTTTTGGGCCCCGTCTGTTGTGAACGGGCAATGGAAGTAATGCATCATCCCTTTGGTCCTTCCGGAGGCAGCATCAATAGGGGGTTGCGATGGGGGAGAGAGAGAGAGAGAGAGAGAGAAGGAAATTGACAGGCTGGAGACAAGAAGGAAAAAAAAATAAGTGGGGCGAAGGAAAAGCAAAGGGAATGAAACAAGCCCCGGTGCACAAGGATCCCAAAAGGGGTTGTCACCGTGGTAATGCAATTTCAACTTTCTTTCAACATGGGAGAGGGGGCAGGTCAGCTCAGCTTCGCAGTCTATAGGCACGCATAAGTCATCGTATGTCCGTCGAATGCAACCAACGCGTTTCGGAAAACGTAGGGTCAGGCGCTCGGGACAGAAGAACTTCATCTGGGGCAAGTCTTTTCTGCTTCATGAACAGGTAATATGAGAAGCTGGAAGGAAAGCTTTCCAAAAGCATCTGGATCACAAAGAGAGAGAATAGGAGGAAAGGAAGTAAGAAAAGATATAAGAAAAAAAAAAGTAGGGAAATAGAAGAGATGACAAAAAGATAATAGAAACTAGAGAATGTAAACATAAGTGCGATAAGGAAAAGACAACGACGGAAACACACACAACACGAGAGATGTGCATGAAAGGCTCGCAAGGGTTGAGATGGAAAGGAAAATACCAGAGACCTGCTAAGCGCACAGACTTTGGGAGTTGGTAAATCGACCATAAGAGCTCCCATCAGCGGTGCGAGTCGAATAGACGGGGTCAAAGCCACTACTACTAGAGTGCTGGTACAGGTGAGAAGCTAGCCGAGGGGGTTGTTTCAGGTAATGCGGAGGTTCATGCTGATCATTATTCGTCACCATAGAGACCATCGACTCAAATGGCTGGGGAAATGCATGGCCGGTCTCTTCGCTGGTTTTGGAAACGGATTCGTACTCGAATGAGGGATGTGGTTGGCGGTAATGGCTTGCCGGCTTTCGGTTGTTCATAACGCTATAGTTAGAGTCCTGATAGGTATCCATGCTGGACGAGCTTTTCATCGAGTCCATCGGATCCATGGTGTTATCATTCATGAGTCCAATATCAAACGCCGATGACGAGGATGACGATATGTGTGGACTCTCGCTTAGGGGTGACCGGTCTGGCGCGGTCATTTGATGGTAATCTGTTCGACCGTAATGTGGCCCACCGCGCTGAGAAGAGTCGTACGGCATGAGGGCCAAGTGAGACCGTGCACCTGCTCCTAATCCTGGGGGTAGGACAGCCCCTCCACTTCCATCGCCGGAGCCACCGCTCCCTCCATCGGGGCCCATGCTGGTCGAACTATCGCGGCGGCCGTCTTTGTAATGGCCCGGGGAGCGACCCCGGACTACCATTGGATGCGAAAGTCGCCTGGCAATTCTGACCCATTGGGTATCGGTCCCTGGAACCGAACTGGCGACCTCAGCATAGAGCTCAACGACTAGATTATAGTACTGCTGCTGGGCTCGCCGTTTTCCATTGTTCGCCGTCGCCTTTTGGAACTGAATTCGCTCAAACGTGTGCTGGGTTGGCGGCTGTGAAGGCTGGCCCGCTCCTGGGTAACCAGCGAAATCCAGAGATAACCCAGCCGACTGTGAGGCCAACGAAAACCCATGCTGACTGCTGTTTGGTGATGCTCCGTGGCCCAGAACCAAGGGCGTAGGTTGAGAGGGTTGCAATATGACCTTTCCCGGTTTTCTTTCCGATTGCTTGTCGCGTTTTGGGGTGTGTTGAACCAATTCCCGAACTTCTCCAACTTGTTGGTTCACTACGGCGGAAATTGACATGGCAAATCTTGTAATGCGTTCTGGCCCATGCTCCGACAATTTCACGTATAGTGGAGCGTTTGACCACGGCTGCAACGTGAACGAACACGAGACTGAGAAATAGTTGCGTCTATAGCACGTCCACTTGTCATCGACCTGGAAGAAACCCTTATGTATCTTGGCTTGTATCTCAGGAGTGATGGTTTGAGCTCCGGAGACGACCGGTTGAATCACCATAGTTTCGCCGAACGGAGGAGCATCGGCAACTGGCTGGGGTAAACGTTGCTGGACGGCGTCCACCAACATAGTCCCCGACCCAATATACACGCTCGGGGGTCGATTCATAGTGCCCTCGATAACACCTCGAGGGGTTGTTCCAAAGGGTGTGATCCTATTGAATTCCCCAAGACCTGTCAAAGGTCCTTGGAACGGTCCTCGATGGAGTGTGTATGCTCCCGGATACCCATCATTTCGCCCCATAATGGAGGTACTTCCAGAGACGGTTGTCCCCTGCGATTGCAGACTAGGTGACATGTTGGCGGGCGGCTGACTGTACAGGTCCCAAAGTTTTCTTATCAATCGGTGCATGTCAACAAAGTACCAAAGATTGAGACACACTTACAGTGGGGGCACCCGATGGGATCTGTAATCCGACATTCTATCGTATGGCATTCCTGAAGAATGTGTATACAGTGAGTTCGATGAAGGAGAGAATGTTTCTGTGAAGCACCGCACCATATTGATGGAGGGCGCGTGTTAGCCGATGGCAGGGGACCGAGAGATAAAGGGAAACGAACCAGAGCATGTGTCAGTAGGGCTCATGAGAATGGAGGTAGGAGACGTCGGAAAGCTAGAAGAACAGACCCAGGTCAGTAAGTTGTTGCATCTGCTGGGTTATTGCCGGAAATAATCGTCGAGGATGACAGCAGAAGAAAAGCAAGATATAGAACGCTTGGATCCCAACGCATCACGACCATACAGCATGTATAAATGAACCAGCGACGAGCTGTGTGGCCATCATTTGCGAGAGGATATGCTAAAGATTCGGTAATGCGACCAGGGAGCAGCAGGTAGACGCATGCAAGCAGCAGTTTGGTATAGACCATTAAGGACGGCACTTTGACATAAAAAAAAATTAAGGAAGTAGGAATAAAATGAAATTCAAAAAGAAAGAAGGGAGCAGTGACGAAAATGGATGATGAGAAATAGGCGCTCAACATGGAGAAGAATGGAAAAAGGAAAAGGGAAAAAACAAAAAAAGGGAAACAACATCGAAAAGGGAAAATAGAAAATGAAAATGACTATAAAGCCACTCAACACTCGCAGGGCTAAAGTGAGTAAATTTGGAATATTCAGGAATAATCAAGATTGCCATCAACATCATTATTATCAACAGCGCACGACAAAATCATGTTGATAATAATTGATGGTAGGGGAGGTAGGAGGTAAAAAAAAAAAAAAAAGAAAAGAAAAGAAAAAGAATAATAGAAAAGGAATAGCAATAATAATCGTAATTATAATAATAATAACAGCAAAAATAATAAAGAATAATAAATCAATCGAGGGCGTTGGGCCAACTATTCAGGTTGTTCGGACTAGAAGGGAGAAGCTGTGACTAGTGGCTGCAAGCGGGCCAAGTGGAGCACAAGGGCAGTCCGAATTGAAAGACAACTTACGGTACCTCCTGCATCGCAGGCTGCTGTGTGTTGTATCGCAGGCCGTTGGTAGCTGGTATTGACACTGGCTGCGCCAGCGGGTGGCCAACAGCACCGCCCCTTCGGGTATTTTCCTCTTCATCCATGGAAAAGCCTGTCGAACTCGAAAATGGTCGTGATGTCCCTGTATAGTCCCCGTCGGTGTTTATCGGGCCGTCCAGTGGAAAGGTGCTTTGCAGAAGTGTTGCTAAGAAAGAGCTCATGATTAGATCGCATTGCCAGGTCCCAATCGGTAGCGAGCAGATCCACAGCGCAATACTGGAGAGAAGAAAAAACAGAATTGGATAACGAATATCATAGGAATTCACCAAGAACAATGCGAGGAAATAAGGAAGCCGGAAGGAACGAAAAAGAAAGGACACAAATTATCTGATCAGCCCGGTATGAAATAGGGAACCCCATCCCTGTCCACCAAGGAAGCAGTATTCCTGATGTCATTATAATACCAGAGGAACGGAGCGCCTGAAATGGTGTAACCGAGTAGAAGAGCTTGAGATGCGAAAAGGAAGAAATAAACGTCACCCCGAATGTAGATCGCCTGTCAGAAGCAAGTCGCAACTGGGTCACGAGTGCAAAGCCCGCTCCTCAGATCGTATCTTTGGCGGTAATAAAGAAAACCATACCCGTGACAAAAACCCAGTTCGCAACGGTACTAACAAGAAATGAGCCCACTTACAGTGATTCATTTGCAAACTTGCGACAGTCAACTAGCAAACTGCCGTTAAAAGAAGTTCAAGACAAGGTAGATCAGTAAATCAGGGTATCTTGGCTTAGCAAGCTAGACGCAGGAGACCGATTCACGTCTGGGACCCTTGGAATCAACGCAAACTAAAGCACTAAAAGTACGCCCGGCGAGCGCTAGGCTTGGGCGGCGCCCAACAGGGGTACGCTAGAAGCTGAAAAGGCGATAGCTAGCGAAAGGTGTCAGTGAAGTATCCTGTTGGTCTTACAACCGCGCGCCTCGACATACACTATCGCTCTTATTCGGAGGTATTTGAAATGGCGAGATCCCTGGTATAGCGACGCTATTCTATAACACCGTTAGTGACTCAACAAACCGCTGAAAGGAAATCAACACAGGCGGTTATGGACCTTTCCACATCCCCGAGGATAGCAAAGGTCGACTAGTGCACGAAGTAAATCTGCTTCGATGATATTGTGGCTGATCAGGTATCCGATCCCACTGAGGTAGACGACATGTTCATGTAAAAGGGGCGACAGAGAGGGGTGAACGGAACTAATCTAGGGAAGAAAAGAAGAGCGAAACAAAAAAGGAAATTCGTGGATTTAGAAAGGGAAAAAAAAAAAAAAAAGAAAAGAAAAGAAAACATAGAAGCATCCGTAAATGATTGTGCTCAGCTTTCCATGTTCGCCACGGCAGCCATGACGGAAAGGATCTCTCAACGGCTTGCTAGGTAAATCTTACAATAGAGGCAGAATGTAGCAAGTGCTGTCAAGGCATAAGCCTACCCACACCACGGTGCAGTAATCGGTGGTAAGTGGCTTGGCTGAACAAAAGATGTAGGGTTTAGAACAATAACCATGGAAGTATCAAGTGGTAGCCGAAGCATTTCAGACAACGGAATAGTGATGGGACCACTCAAGAAGGCACAAGAAGAAGAACGAAAGCAATGAATGTGGATGGAGTCAGAAGGAAGACAAGGACAGGGAGAAGATAGAGATGCATGTGCCATAGAGTTATTGTTGGTGCAGAATCCTGAATTTTATAAGTGGAATGGACTCACATGTATCAATTGGCGGATGACGAGCAAGTTGAGTCAAGAATGAGGAAGGTTATTTTGCATCTATCACTGCAGCTTTCAATTTTGAGATGAAACCCTATATGTATGTATATCGGTTATCTCAATGTTCCGCTTGTCCACGTCAAGGAGATAACTGTTGGGCTCAGGGCTCCAATTTGGCCTCTCGGTGGATTAATCAGGAATTTTGACAAAGAAGATGGAGAATTGAGTCGCAGAGGACTGTTAGCCGCCGTGCAGAACGGGCAGTTGACTGGTAAAAATGCCCTGGACCGGCAGTCGAGGGATCTGGTCGCTTGATATCTGTTTCCCGGTGTTGGATGAAAAACCACTTCCTTCATGTCATGGTATTTTCTCCTGCCCACACCAACACGACGCCCACTTTCTCCGCTGTCTACCTAGCCTGGCCCCTTTACGGTGACCAATGAGCGATCCTGGTAAGATGCGGCGGAAATGTCTGCAGAAGCTCGTTGTGCACAAGCCCTGGGAGCTTCAGGTTGCCAATTTAAGCTTGAAAGCGAATACCACTTTCACCACGAGTTTGCTGTTGAGTTTAGTCGAGGCCAGGGTCAAAGACATTTGTTGTTTCCGATCCATGACTGAGCAGAAGAAAAAGAAAAGAAACGAACTACAATGCGTGCTGCCTTTGGGATACGCTTGCGCGAATAGAAAAGGCGCTCTTTTGTTTTTCTTCCGTTTTCCATTTTCGTCCCTTCGGCACACTCCCCCCTCCCCCATTTATTTCCCAGAAAACAATATGCTTCACCTTTTTTTTTTCTTTTCTTTTTATTGTTAATTTTTCTTCTTATTTCATTTTCTCTCTATTTGGATTTTTTTTTTAATTGTATTAGTGGGTGGAGTGAGCAATTGCCTTCCTGGCTGATCAACTAAAATGGCGCGAAAGGGATAAAAAAGAGTTTGGGACCCTGTCGAAACCGTCGGAGAGACACGGCATTCGTTGAAATCCATGTTACATTCCCATGGTCCACGTCTAGGCAGATTTCAAGGCTGCACAAACTCAAGAGCAGAATGGAGACCAACTTGGACATGGTTCAGCTGGCGGCGTGATTGGTGAACTGTCCATACTCCATACAGAACATCACCGGCAAAGTCAGCTGTCCTTAGTGTGAACACCCGGCGAACGGCAAAGTGCAGCAAAACAAATTAGAATGGTGCTAGAACGGATTAGTAGCGACGATCATCACTCCGGGAATCGTGCAGACCCCAGTCGCATGATTGGAGACTGTTGATAACTGCTGAGCTTGGGCAGATGCAGACAACCAATAGCTTTCAAGGCCATTGACGAACGGTCGATGTACTCCGTAAACAATTGTACAGTCCCAGACAGGGGCCTGTGGACCCAAAAAAAGAATCCATGTTCTAGGCATGAGCTCCGGCCTTGGATGCTCTCAAGAGGATCTCGGGTGCTTGAGGCACGAGCAGCAGTAGCTCTTGCATGAATGAGAGATCAGGCGATCGACATGTTCGATCCAACGGTTGTTTTATTTCATTATGTCATTTTTGTTTTATTTTTTCATTTTCTTTCTTGTTACCGTATGGTGGTTTGTTCACTCACCGACATGGGCTTGAACGATTTGGAAACGATTCGAATCCAAAATGCGGCCGATACAAAGAGCAGTGTGTAGTCATGACCCGCCCCATACACACTAATCGGTTGGAACTTTAGGCTGTACTAGTAATAGTTAGGGAATATGCTCCAGCAACAATAATACCTTCTTCCAGTCACACCACCCTTGCCCAGTACGGAGAAAGTAACATTTGCTGTACGGAGCACACGGCAATGTTTTCTAGAATCGAGAAGAGGCACTGATTGGTGAGAGGGCAAAGGAGACCGCCGAACCTGAAGCGGGAAAAAATACTTAGTAGGTTAAGTAGTGGTCTCTGGTATCCCAGCCAGTGGGGGTGGGCGTAAGTGTCTTCTTTCTCGCTTCTTTTCTTCTTTTTCCTTAATTTTAATTAGTTTTGTGTTTTCCCCTTTTCCTTTTTCCTCTTATTTTCTGGCTTCTTTTCCTTATCCGGTGAAGGATTATTATGTGGCTGCATGATCATCCAGGCTCGCAGGAAGCTAGTTGGTTGAGATGTGATATGCACCGTGCTGAAAAAAGTAGCCAAGGATGTATAATTGGTGGAGACCAAGTGCTGGGGTTTTAACTGAGAGCCATTTGTTGGAGGCCTGTATAAGGGTATGGGGTCCCTAATGGAGGGAGGGCGAATGTCGTGCAGGATGTGTCCGCGGGATGCGGCGCGAATCCCATAGTAACCTTGAACCAGGGGGGGCGAGAGACGGAGGTTGCATTTCAAGCCAGGGTAAGCCCCATTAGCCCGTTGAATGGAAGCCTGTCGGCGGGTTGAAGTCCAAGGGTAGGGCGTCAAAGACCCATGAGATTCAAATTTCTCCCTAGAAAGGACATTGCTGATCGGTCATGATGAATGAGATGATGATGTTATCGGCAAAGGGGCGAATTTTCTCCTGAAAGATCAGAAACAGTGAAAAGACAGTCCTCGAACTGGATCCTTTTCCAGATGGTAAACATCTTAGGAATTTGTTTGTGGAGTTGCTTGTTTTCCCTGCTTATTCTTTCCCCTTTGAATTTCGTGCGCCTGGTTCGGCGGAGACACACCAAAACATGAATCGGGATCCGCATCGTGACGCTAAACCCAACCCGACCGAAGGCACGTGCCCCGCATGGGGTCATCTCAAAATAGTATAGCGGCATACCTGCATGGACCTTCTTCTTACAACAACAATTGAGCCTTGGACCATCCACCCCGTTATCGTCCCTGTCCTTGTCTCCTCCATCCCATCCATCCATTTCTTTTTTGATTTATATATTTTATTGTTATGGCATTCAACTGACTAGTAGCCTTGCCGTTGGCGCCGTCAGAAAAAACCTTGTTCAGGCAACGGTCCTCGTCATGGCCTTTCGTCTATTATTGGCATGTCCAGATAGATGCCCTCCACGATGGCCGCCTACACAATAGCAAAAATTTATTGCTTGCTGTCTTGGCCGCCATTCACAGCTCGATCTAGAGTCCACTAATACCCGTGGGGACTGATTAGCGAATCACAGAGTATCATTTTATGGAGACACAGTTACCGTGACTCGTGGGAAGCAAGCCTACTCCTACTCCGAAGAAACCTTTCTCCACTACCGATGTCTCCATAGTGAGTAAACTTCTTTAACTAATTCCTTTTTCTTTGTCTCAACTGGCCCCAGCCTTTCCTTGGTTAAGAGAGGCCCGTCCGCCCGGAAACCCGTCCATATTAGAGTTCGAACAAGGTCCCATTCAAGACCGTGGCTTCTAGCCTATCCGGGAATGTGTTGGACCTGTCCTAGGGTTGCCCGTGCTAACATTTTGTGCAGATGGAGTACTTCCGATTGACTCGCATCTTCAGTGTTCCAGGAGCAATAGCTGCGATACGCTCTTCTCTTCACCTGCTGACTTTTTCTACCCGCACTGGTGGTGGCTGATACCCTCTGCGGACGGCACTCCTGTACGACAGTCGAATAATTACCTTTATAAGCCATAATCGAGCGAAGGGACAGCCATGGCATGCTCTCATCTGCAATTGGCCGATATTACGGTTTGGACCATCAAGATAGTCCGCACATCGGTTGTCATGCCAATCAAGGCAGCTGAGCTCATCTAGAGTCCAGAACAATCGGCTTTAATTTCCGGGATCCCCTAATGTTCCCACGTTTGAATGAGTCCTTGGCAGGCTTTTAGTGCCCCAGCTTCAGCTGCCCGACGAAGTGTGATTTCCACTTTGCATCTGGCCCCATTTATTCAATTATTTTTAACGGACCATCACATCGAGAAGATGATCTTGACAAGGTCAACCGCTTCCCTCATGCTAATGTACAGGTACAGGATAAACCTGATAGATACGATCGTTCTTGGCGTCCCAAAGCACAAGCGGTCCAATATATTCTCATGAACTACTATAATGGGAGCACAAGTATCACTGCAACGCGTGTCATAGCCGACAACTTGCGCTAAAAACGCTGTAGCCTCGGACCCGAAAGTATTGGATGCGGTCTGCATAGACTCTGGTCAGCCACTTGTACGATTTCCCAATTGCCATCAACTAGGATTCTTTGTCAAGGTAGGGTCAGGTGTAGTCTTGTTGTAAGGCACCCTTTGCTTGGTGAGTATAGCTCTCTTTGGTTTTGCCACCACCTGCAGTGAAAGGACGGCCTCCGGCCACTTTCTGCTTTATTGATATTGCCCTGCACCTTGTCAGCTACAAGGGCTTTCGTTTCTAATTTCCGCAATATGACTCCTTCTCACCAATTGCAATATGCATCTGGTTGTTCGACAAAGCACGCTATAACTACGAATAGGCCTGCAGCATTTTCTTTGGGCGCGCCCGCAAGCCGGCGCATCTTTACTACATCCATCCTGTCTGTGCAACTTCTTAGGCCATTAGTCAGTCGATCAATTGTCTATGCTGATGTCTATCATCGGTGCATAGTACAGCCCGGTTCCAATACTGATGCGAGTGGTGCTGGGATACACTGAATAGTGACGCCCTATCTTTCCCGATCCCTTTCGCCAGTCCATGGCGGTAAGGCTTTACAGGTAAGCTGTATACTCTTCTCAGGTCATGACTGACGTGTTCCCAGCCTCAGCAGTATCCCCTGTTATGCAGCGTACGGAGAGCGGCACGAATAAATCTAGCAACGAAAAAGAACCGAGAAAGTCGCCGGTGGCTGCGAGGCATATGCCTGCATGGAGTCTGATGATGGACCAGTCATAAAACCCGATGCGCCAAAGAAAACGAGATGAAGGGCGGCCGTCATGCCTGATTGAGCGGTAGTGGCAATGGTGACGTTGATGGAGCTTCGGCCAACGGACTGGCATGTCCAAGTGCACGAGGACACGGAGCGGGCAGTGGGATCCCATCTGCCAGTCTTGTACGCTCTTCGAGTCGCACAGAATGAAGCCAGAGGGTCTGTCTCAGAGCCAAGAAAGGCTAGTTTCAGGACTTGCTGGATACGTCCCCCCAACGATACACAAAACCATTGTTAACAACTTCCCGTTCCATACCCGTTTTCATGCAATGTAACCAACCATCTGGACACACAGCACCATTCACAATCCTTCTGAGCAGCGAATGCTCCGGGCTGTGAGCGAAGATTACACGAAACCGAATTGATTTGTTTGAATATCGAAAGCCACTGGCCTGGCGCCACGCTCTGAATAGTCCCGTGCATCCACTCGTATGCTGGGAGATGTCCTCTGTGGCCCGGGGGTCATGGCGGCTCGATATCGATCTCACATCTGGTCATGCTCTCCATACAAGGCGGAATCGTCTACTGAGAAGTGCGTCGTCCCGCTTGCCATGCCGATTTTCTTCCCTAGATAGACATACATGCAGAGCTGCCTTGCCGATGACACTCATGACGAAGCTCATGCAAACACACTATCAGCCAGCAGCCTTCCACCTTTACCGAACGACAACACAGCCTCCCTTCGCAACTGTCATGACCAATATCTCAGCATCATCGGCGTTCATAGACAGCTAGCTGTTGACTCCCGGACCATCTACAGACTGCCCATGATCTTGGCTCGTTGGTCCGCACTCTGTAGACCCATGGTCGTTATTCACCATGCAGCTCGTCTCTGCAAAGCCTGATCAGTACAGTCAATGCTGCCTTGTCACGTCCCGAGTGGCTCAAGTCTAGGCCTTTCTGACACATGCCGCCAAATCATAGAAGCTTGTCAGCTAATACGCATTGAGTCATCATAGCAAGGATCTAATAACCAACTACCCGATACATACCAAGCAGGAGGCTCTTCAATGTCTACCATCTGATTGAGATGTAGACCCCAGCCAGGCTGTCGATACTTGACGGACGATGATACGGGAGCATTACCCCAATAACCAATAAAACCAGTTCCTCCCCGTCCTAGAACCAGGACAGTACTACTACTTAGATTCCCAAGTAAGCAGGACCGAACCTTTTTACTTAATTACTATTTCACTCTTATGTAGTGTGACTCCAACGAACAAATTGAAATACTTTTGTTTTCGGGTTTGAACCTTCTCTCTCGATCTAAGAATACTTCCACCCGCGATCGATCAATGCACGGAAAAGTAGAAAAGAAAAAGAGGAGCATGCAAACAAGCAAGCAAGCTTGCCTTGCCTTGCCTTGCCTTGCCTTGCCTTGCCTTGCCTTGCCTTGCAACTCAGCATGACAAATAGACACATTGAACCGGAAGAGAGTAGTGCGCGAATAAGGAAAAGGAAGACCAGACCACGCTGCTTTTCTCTGTATCAAATCGACCTCAAAAAAGCAAAGAGAAGACGACACACACACACACACTCACACACGCACGACACATTTGGGATGCCTTTTGTTCTTCAGTAATCATCATTATCGATCGGATCATACAATACAAAGAAAAGTAGTCAATAGATGAGAGATGAAGATCTTCTTCAGCCATGGGAAGTGTGGATGGATGGAGAAACCCGCCTGCCTGACGAAAAGAGACCCAAGGGTGTCATGTCATGATACGTACGGAAAAACCAAAAAGCAAGAGAAGAAGTTAATAAGGAGGAGAATGAAGTGTGGGAAGAGAAAAAATGGGAATTGGAAATTTGGAGGAGAAAATCTAAGTGGCACGCTTGGCGAATTCGACGCGCAGGATAAGGTGACGGTAACCGACTAGATGAAGAGGAAATATTAGTTGCGATTCCGATAACTTGCTTTGTTGCTGACATTGCAACGATGGCAATGGAAAAAACAAATATGACGCAGAAAAAAAAATGAAATGGAATGGAATGGAATGAATGAAGTAGAGGGATAACTTACAGCCATCCATCTTGTCGCAAGCACGTGCAGCATCGTCCCGATCCGCAAAGCTGATGAAAGCGAAGCCCTTGGCTCTCTGGGTTTCTCTGTCTCTGGCAAGGAAAACTCTGGTGACACGACCGAAGCGTTCGAACAGATCCCGCAGTTCTCCTTCCTCTGCCAACTCGCTCACCTGTTTGGGTTTGTTGTCAGTCAGTGATGTGTCCGTGGGAATCCAAATGCAATAGAAGCACGGAAAGTAGAGGAAGCTGATTGCTGTTCTCATGACATCCATGTGTGTGCCCGAAAGGGCTGCTTCCTCTTTCTCTCTTTCCCTCTCTCAGAACAACACCAATAGGAGTGTTTAGAGGGGAAGGAGAGGGCAGAGCAGGCAAGGAAAAGGAGGAAGAGAGGAACAGAAGGAGGAAAACTAGCATCCCCTGTCCCCTCTACCCCTCCCCCCTCCCCCTCCGGGGAGACCAGCAAATAGCAAAACAGTGTCCAGTGAAACCAGAGACAAGGGTGAGGTAATTGGGGAAAACTCACGTTCGTAACTCTCAGAGTCGCCAAATCATCCTTCTCATACTTGCCAGCCATTCTCTCTCCGCCACCAGCAGCACCCTTCCGCAGATGAGGGGGCACGTAGCTAGAAGTACCAGCACCCAAAGCGCCAGCAGCCGGAGAATCCTCAGCACCACCCTCACCACCAGCAGAGGGCTCGTCGACAGGAGCCATAGTATCCTTGAAGGGACAACGAGCAGTAAAGTGCTCGCCACTGCAAATACGACACTTGACCTTCTTGTCCTTCAGCTGATCCTTCATACTGCCCTTCTCGCCACCATTCTTCTCCGCCTCGGCCGCCTGAACCTTCCAGTTGACGCTGGGCCGGAAAGCAATGTTCTCACCCACGGAGGTCGTATCGAAGGAAGGTCCGGGCGCGTTGCCCTTCTCCAGACCGAACTTGGCCCAGGACCTCCGCTCCGCGACCTGAGGGTTGACATGTTCGCGAACAACGGTCGTTTTGATCCGGCGGGTCACCTTCACCTTCTTGCCTTCGTCGTTGAATCGGTAGGAGACGATCGTCTTCGTGCCATCTTTGTTGGTCGTGATTTGCTGCGGGGGGAGAGCGGAGGGGTCGTCGAACTCCTCGTCGTCGGCCCAGTCGGCGCGGCTGGAAAGTGGAAAAACAGTCCTGGTCAGATTTTCTTTCTTTTCGTTGTCTTCTTTTTTTTTTGTCGCTTCTTGACCCTGGATTTTCGGGGGTTTGGGGGGAGTTTCCGCTTACTTTCCAAGCTTCGACATTGTGTGTGTGATGGGGGGGTTGATGATGTCGCCGATTGTTGCTGAATTTCTGGATTTCAGCGAAAGATGCAAGATCCGTTGTGGATTTGTTCGGCGCGGCAAATGCCTTGTGGCGCATGACAAGTGTGGCTGGTGCGTTGGTGCCTGGGTCACGTGAAAGACAGGATGATGGCTACCGTTGGTATGCATGCACCGAACATCTTTCTACAATAAGACGGTTCTTTTATTTTATTTTCTTTTCTCTAGATTTAGATGCATATTATACGGCCTATTAAATGAAGATCTGCCTCAATGCTATCTCGTTTCCCACTGCCAGAACATATCAAGATGACAACGCCCAGACGCATGTTAACCCTTCCCCTTTCCGCCTTGCTTGTAAATACCATGGCCGACGAGTGGCTATTCCTGGTCACTATGATTGTTCAGACCAGATTCAATCCAAATGTTTAGAAGCTTCACGTTTAGACGTAGTCCGCTTTTGACGCTTCCATAGTTGCGACCTTCATACCAGAGTGTGTAGACACAGTGAGCGGAATAATACACCGCGTGAATTTCGTATTGGACGACGTAGTATAGCTCATTGTCTGCACCGCGTTTAATTGCGATGCGTTCCTTTTCAATGACACCGAGACTTGGGTTCAATGTGGCATGTTGCTTCACGCCTAAGAATAGCATAGTCAATAATCCGTAATCAACCATTTTCAGCTGTGCGAGAGGACTTGCGGCGATTGAAATACAAAGGTGGCTTTTCACCTATAGCAGTATTCACTTTGTATAGGCTGACCCTAATTGAGTCGAAAGCGCCATCTTTGACCTGTCTACGTTTGATCCATGTTGTTTTGATGGCCTTCGCTTCTTCCATGTCATCCCCCTGAATACGTCGTTAGCGTTTATATATTGACTTGAGAATCATTCCATACCTTGCGAACAAACCATCTCATAACATCAATATAATACTCACCATAAAAGTAACTCCAGTATCGAGATGCGATAGTCTTCAGTTAGCCCCAAGATTGTAAGAGTTGACCCGATCGCACAAGGAAAATTGTTGCTACTTACTTCTTCTCATCATGCACCCCATGAATGAATTCGGTCTGGTACGTTGTCCCATAATTTTCCCTGGCCTTGCGGGATTCTATGAAAGTCTTCGCCGTTGTGTCGGAAATGTCCCCAAGAGTCTTTGCCAACGCGCCCCTAACGACAGCAGTCCAGCCGTCGACTGGTGCTATCACTTGCACGCCCGGAGAGAAGCAGTCACGAAGATGTTTGCGAAGGTATGGACTCTGTCCAAACGCTCCAACCAACAAAACTGCTTTCACCTCTGCACGAGAAGTCTGGATTTGCTCTTGGACAAGTTTCTCAATATCTCGTATAGTAGGTAAGAATAGCTTCCGCATCTCTTTTCCAGTAACGCGAATTCGGCCGCGACGGACCCCGAGTTCCGGGTCGTCTGCTATACCTGGCACAGGAAACATAAAATCGTGATCAGTGCTTCCCTCGAATGTTCTTTTCACGACACTTTCAAAACGCTGCATTGCCTCGTCTAGCGTGTCCCTGCCCCATCCCGGGAGCTGGGAAAGGCGATCGTCCAGCAACTTTTCGAAGCTCCTATTGAGAAACGTGCTGCCACACATGGATCCAGTACCCGGAGCTTCTTCTCTTAGACGCAGATAGGGTTCAAGCCCAGTAATCATGAACGTAATAAGATCTACTGTGCCGCCACCCGCATCACAGAGGAAAAACGTATCTCCAATATCCGCCAAAGGGTGTCCAGGAGCACGTAGCGAATGTATGGCAGCAGCTTCAGGCTCAGATATAATGTGTATCGTGGATATGTCTCCAAAGCCCGCTTTTTCTGCGCACGAGAGCGTTGACATTTTCGCTTTATCTGGCCACATTGCTGGGACTGTGATCACAAATTCGAGGTTCGTACTGTCCACTGAGCTACCAAGTCTCAATTTCAAAATTTTAACTGCATGTTTACGTAGGGAACGAAGGTAGTCGGTAACGACCTTCTCAGGTGATGAAAAGCAGGGAATAGGCATTCGGCGGCAATCACTGTGTGTCGAAGACGGTCTTGATCCTTCCCCAAGATCAAGATCAGGAACAAGTTCGAGTTTGAACCACTGAATCCGTGGCGTTTCCTCCAGGATTTGAAAACCCCATAGACATTTCTTCTTCCCGTGCTGAGGATACTCATACCTGACTTCGCTGGGTACTTTTTCGCTGGTCAATCCACCACATGAGTCAGAGCCATATTGCGGCCATTCCCTGATTATATGGTGATTATCAGGCTGGGAAAGGCATCAGTATTTCTTCCAATAATGTAGTTGCGATCCACGCACGTTACTCATTTGAGCCCAGGCTATCCCAGAGTAGGTGGTGCCAAAGTCCACCGCAATGACTATGGTCCTTTTACTGGAAGAACTGGTCATGTCTCTTGTGTTCTTTTGTTTGCCGCTTTTATAATCGTTGCAAGGAACCTGATGCTTATGACAGGAGAGCCTCAACTTCAGTAAGCCGATCCAATCACACTTGTCTGTGAGACGCCTCTGTATGGGAAGTATCAGTAAGGTAAGTATAAATGTTCAGCGATCTCGCAAGGGAGGGATTCTTCATGAAAGTTTCACTGAGGCATCACTCGGTGAACACAGGTAAAGGAAACCTTTTGCAGTGAATGATTGAGTGCACGTGTCCTGATATGGGTACTTCTCTTAGATATTCTTCGCGGTCAGTATCCTCATCAAGCAGTCTTCATCTGGTATTCCTTGTTCAGTGGGAATTTCAGAGTAGGTGAGAAACTTACTTCACCTTCTTGCTTTGCCTTTCTTTTCTTTCGATCGATTTAAGCACCAAGCCAATATTGGCCTGAAATTAGAAAAAACGGGACAGAAATGGACGAGAAGGAAATCTTAAGTGTCAAGGAAGAGGAAAAGTCTCTCCTTCACCCTTGCAACTTCGCCCAAGAAAACGGACACCGCATAGCGCGAGATAGATTAGCGGATGCTGCTCGAACCCCCGACAGTAGAATCACGGAATTTGAAAATGAAGTTGGTTTGGAGCAATCATACAGCCATGTGGTCAAACTATCAACATTGCTGCACCATGAGATATCCAAACTTGGGCGTATCTTTGGAGAGAATCAACACGTTATAAGACCAATGCAGGAGAAGATTGCCCAATTGAAGAAGCATAACCAAAATTTGGAGGAACAGTTACAAGACTGTCAGGCACGAATACTCAGATCATCTCCTGTGGCTGTCTTGAGTGATGCTACTGTCTTGGCAGATTTCAGTAGGATTCGCGAGACCCTTTCTAACTGGGTTGAGGAGTTGCCTAAAATTCGTGAAGACTTTGCCGATCACTTGTCTGCCACATTCAGCGAGCTTTCTCTTGATTCTCATATATCCAAAGATACGAATAGTTATCCACAACGGCCTCTTGCAGTGCAGTCTGAACTTCTGATGCACCTGGTTTTCTGTCGTCTTTCTAAGGGGCTCTTTGAGGTCTTAGTCCCGGGAATATCTCCATCAGATAACGATCTCTTGGATGGCCTTCGTGAGGGGCTGTTGTCGCTACAGTCCAAGAACAGTAGGTGTCGCGAATAGTAGCATCAGACTGAATTTTCAGATTTGCTAAACTTTGATAGACTTCGAGAATGTGAGTGGTGGGGGTCCGAACATCATGGAGGCCTATGTCGCATCTCAAAGCTATCAGAAGGGTGTCGACAGTGTCGACAACGAATGCTCCAAAATAATTGCTGATTTGGATGACTTTTTTTGGTGGATCGACTTTGAGTGCGACGTTAATTGGGACAGCAAAATGGCAAGTTTATCTACAGATATTTTGAAACCGGCCGTCAGTCTGGCAACGAAGATGAGCTGTGCACCCGCGCAATACAGGTGGAAATGGTATGGCGAGGCATACTTCCCTCAACGAGTCGTACGCAAGTACCACCTGAAACAGTTTACCGTGCAAGACGCCCGCACTCATAATAGAATATCCTTGGCAAATCTTGCGCTTTTGGATGATGAAACCCCACTTGGCGAGCTCTTGGTGATAATTTTCCCTGCATTGTTCCGGCGGGGAACTCATAGGATTAGTGATGTCTAAATTGAGAAGGCTGTTGTCCTCATCCGCGCGAGAGATGATTTGCCGATACTAAAGAGGTCGAAAGATAGACCAAGCATGCTTCCGCACGTTGTTGTCCAGGTTCCTTAAGAATTATGCACTGGGACGGTGGAACGGAGGTTCTGTATTGGAAAGGAGGCAAGAGGGGGCAAATTGAACCAATTACGATGGAGGGAACAACCGTAAGGCTACGCTAGGGTAGTACAACTCGACGTGAAATCACGAGACCTTATATTTCATAGGTAACCAAATAAATCACAATGTTTCTCAGACACTTCTGCGTATTTCATTCATCTCCGGCACATCTGCACGGAATGGTATATTAGAATCAATGATTACATCTATATACATAAAAGTCCAGCCAACATCATGAAAGGCAGCCAGACAGGTTCCGTACCACGGAACCGACATCATCACATCCATCGTCGAGTCCCAAAGGAGACATACATGACTACCAAGCTCAACCCATAAATCTGTATCCCAAGTACAAGCCCTTGTTTTTAACCAACAAGAAAAAGAAAAGGTAGAAAAATCGACATGAAGAAAGAAAGAGAAACGCATTTACCGACCCAGCATTTTCAGCTCAATAGGTCTCAGAACGGAATGCACGACGAAAGAAAAGAGAAGAGCCAACTCGAAACCGACATCACCATTACCAGCATGCTTGGCGATGGGACCTATGTACCATGTCTCACTCATACCAGTAACCATACCCGCGACACCGAAAGCAAAGGAAATGCAAGCGGCGATACCATAGGGCAGCTTGTTGGGCTTGTCATATGTCTCGGGGCGGTATCCAGAGAAGCCACGGCGAACGATGTGGTCGGCAAGAGCGACACCGGAGTAAATGGCCAGCCAGTAGGCGATGAAGTCCATCAGATTCTCCAGGACTTCTTCGAAGTGAGAGTAACCGGGGATGGCGACGGCGATGGAGACACCGGAGGCGAGAAGGACCCAGATGAAACGGGGAACGCGCTGGGAGTAGCGACTCAGGACCTGGAGAGTCAGGGAAACGGAGTAGATGTTGGGGCAGTTGTTGGCGATGATGGACAAAGACAGGATCACCAGACAGAACTTGCCGAAGCCACCGACGGGATCAAGAACAGCGCCCAGCAAACCTCCGTTTCCAGACTGGCTGTAACCAAGGGCGTATTTGTTGTCTCCGCCGTTGATGGAAGTGGCGGTCATAACAGCGATACCCAGGAACTGGGTGAAGAGAAGAGGGGGGATCAGGCCTCCCCAGGCGGCAAAGAAGATCTTACGGCGGCTGCGGTCCGCGGGCTGGTAGACGGTGTAATCGGCGGCGTAGCTGGTCCAGCCAGTGGCGAAACCATAGACAGTCGCACCGTAAGACAGGCAAGAGCCGAGCTCAGAGGTTCCAGTTCCCATGGGGAGGTTCCTAAAATCACCGGAGTGGGCGAACAATCCGAACACGATCATGAAGACAATGAAGGTCGGGATCCAGCTGTAGTACTCGTACAGGTGGACAACCTTGTATCCGGCGAAAGTGACTAAGAGGGTGCAGATGGCGATGATCAAGATGCCTGCAAATCCAGGAACGTCGGAGTTCACCGCATTGAGAAGTTGGGCGCCGACGATGGAGTTGGCGGCGGACCAGCCCAAACAGGAGAGAACGTTCAGGAGGGCAACTATAGCAGAGGGTATAAGCATATGATGGTGGTAGCCAGACTGTCACAGGAAACTTACTGATCTTAGTAGGCCAATAACCGAACCAGAACCGGGAGAGTACCATCTGGCGCAGACCAAAGGCGGGACCAAAGCAGGAGAACCAGCAGACGGTCAGAACACCCAGCAGGTTGAAGAAGAAGCAGACGAGGATGGCATCGACGAAGCCGAGAGCGAAGGTGGAGTAACCAAGCACGCCGATAGCGAAAGAACTGCTCACCATGTTGGCCGCCAGCCACTGCGACGGGTCAGTTTGGGAGGGCGGTCTTGGAGCAGCCGGCAAGAGAGCCGACGAAGACGAAAGCACAAGGCAAACAAGAGTTAAGAACACACCATGCTGCTGATATTGAAGTACGACGTGTCAGTCCGTTCATTGTCCGGGACACGTTCGACACCTCGCTGCTCAATATTGAGCTTTCCCGCCAACCGTTGCAGCTTTGCGTACAGCGAATTGCCGTACATGAAACTCTCCCCAGGGACAGCGCCATCGCTGCTGTCATCCATGGGCGTTTTGCCCACCTGGGGGGCTTTTTCGAGATCGGACTCGACTCCTCCGAACATGGTGTTGGAATGGAAAAAGGTACGCGTATATCTCAACGGCGCAAGGTTTGAAAATATGCTGACGTTGGGAAGATAACCCTCGGTCAGGAATCAAGTAGACTTGATAAGAAGTCTTTTTTTGGAACTCTTGAATACGAGAGCTGTAAAGCTCAGGTACCAAGTATAGTTCAAGGGGGAAGGGGAAGGGAAGGGAAAGGAGGAGACGGAAACCACATCTTTCTTTTTTCTTTCTTTCTTTCTCTGCAAGAGAGCGTGGGAGGAGAGCTCCTAATATGTGTTCGGAGGCAACGAGAATTTCTTCTCACACCCACCGTGACGAGGCCCACCCCACGAGATCCGAACGAGTATCAGGCACGATGATTGATCGCTTCTGCACCGACGGAGAAACGCCGCCGCGACCGCGTAACAGCTTCCCATGGGCTCAGCTCCTGTCGCGTGTTCCGGCGGAGGTCCCAGCCCTGGCCTGGTCCGCCTTTCTTGTTTCGAGAAAAAACTCTCACGTTTACTTTTTTCTTACGGGCCCCACCGCCGCCAACTTGTCTTAGCTTAGCCCTAGTGCGCACAAGCTTATGTTGCCACCAATTATATGCAGCATGGCCCCATCTTCATCATTTTCATTGGAGGATACAAGGCTGGGCACATGGTTAAGCACCACATAGATCGCAGAAATTATCAGCAGTCTGCCTCTGATTGGACATCTTTGTCTACCAGGACCGAGTGGGTCTGGTGGCGAAGGAGCCCACGCTGATAAGGTCTCGCCTGGTGATAGGCACACCTGCGCCCGTAACCCTGAGAGATTTGATAATGATAACACTTCAGGCTCGTTAGGTATTTCGGTTTGTACGGCTTACCGCGATGCCTGCAGCTGGTCCCCCCAAGGCTGACCATCTCTGTCAGGCCCGATAGCCACCTATCTCATGGTGTTGATTATTATCACCCCCGGACTGTCAATTAGAATGCTAGGGGGTGTTGATATCATTCCTGCAGTCGGTCAACGCCGAAGGGCGCAGGAACTCTATCGTTGTCCTGCTTACTGCATGTAGACTTGCCACCGTTGCCTCATAGCACAGTTTTATTCTCCGTAGTGTAGTCATGGGGCCACAGGCACTGGCTGATCAACGCAATAATTAGACCACGATCGCCAGCTCGAAAGAAAGAAGTCAACTATTAGCCTGAGGCATTCAAATTCAGAAACATCATCATAATCAACAATGACAGAAGCAGCTATCTTTCCCCAGACTTTGCTGATACCCCGCGTCATCGGAAACCTACGAAGAATTGTGCTTCGGGCTGACAGGGAAGCGGTGATCGCCGCCTCTAATCCCTATCACAAAGTTTTGCCATGTGCAGCCCGTCCGCGAAGCTTCAGCTAAGCATATCTGCGCCGAGCGATATCGACTTGGCAGGCAGACATGTGAAGTTGGATGCTGTTGATTGGGAAGAGGACATGATTTCACAGCTGGCTATGCATAGGCCTTGATTGGACGCCATGCAGCCCAGATAAGGGCCTCCTTGTCCATATCTCTGGGATGCAATAGTTGCATGATACGAACCCCTTAGCGCGGGAGCCCCTAAATTACTGCCAGCTCATAGCAGCATCAACCCCGGAATGTCTGCCTGTTCTGGCCACAGCTATCGTCAAAATGAGCGATAGTTCTAGGTCAAGTCTGGAGTATGGAGTGTTTCTATCCTCCACCTAGCACCTGACACCTATCTTCATGGAATACTACACACATTCTAGAACAAAGATAGCATCTCAGGCCGCTTGTCTGATACCAGCCGAACTGGACAGTCCATCGTTATCAGGGCCCTTCTTCCCCTTCCCGCCTAATCAATTAACTTCCGCCGTCTCCCTCTTTTCCCGTTTAGCAGCTAATTAAACCCGCCAGTGCCCTGGACATGCAACCCTGCATTAAATCTTTACCCTTTCCTGTTGCCTAGCCCAATCCTTCTTTCTTTATTTCTCCTCTTCATCTCATATACCATAACCATCCACAGTGTACTCACAGCAGAGACTCTGCAACACCCGACCAAGCCGTGACGCTTCCAACTGTAATCTATCTACATACCCTACTCCGACGACCCTCAGTGGAACTTCCACCCTGCCGCTCCACAACTGCAATCCGCACCAACGACCCACCGAGGAAACTTTCGGGATCTGAAAGGTGACTCCAACAGTAACTTTCGGGAAAGTAACCTAGAAAAAAAATTGGAAAGACGTTTCCCCGTCGTCGCGTGCTTGTAGTAGACAGTACCAAAGTAGGCATGTACCTGCGTGCCCAGCCCCTCCCTTTCAAGCTGAGACACGGAAGAGTCTTTTTTCCTCTCTCTCTCAAAAATGATATAGAGATAGACCCATCTAATATCACCTACATTAAGATTTATCTATACATAACTGCACATACCCTTAACCAAATAACTAATAATAAAATTATCAATCCATCCATACCCAAATCCATGAAAGAACACCACTCAAAAAAGAACGGTACCGAACGCGTCTCCCAACCCCGAACGACCTTTCCTAACCTACGCGTCGGATAACCCGTTTCTAGTGCCCTCGATAGGAAAAAAAAAATTTTTTCCCTTCCATACTATCTAACCACTAATCAATGAATGAAAAAGAATGGGATGGATGGGACGTTTCGACCCGCCAATCCCAACGCAGTCTCACCAGTCCCGATTCGGCTCTATCTTAGTACTTTACTATCGGTTCGGTTTCCCGAGTCTGCCGAGCA